TTACCATTGACCTCAAGTGTCCCTCTTTTGGGATAAAGCCTAACGGAACCGCCACCTCAAAAGATAAAGCCCTGACCCCAGCGACCTCATTGCACCTCCCTATGCGCCTCTCACACACTTTTCCTACGGTCTTACACAACAAAAGCGGAAGGCCTCATTAACTGACCTTAGTTGACAATTTTAATGGGCTTTTGAGCCGGACCCACGAAAATTGCCTAATGAAGTGCTCATGGATTGCGAATGCCAGCCAAAAGTCAAGCGAAAGGTTCCCAAAAAGTGTGGTGGCTGAAAGTTTGTTGAACTTTTGTTACGCCGACAAAAAACGCGGCAGAAATTCAATTTCTTTGCATATTAAATCAGGCAAATCATTGTCTGACCCGGGGGCAAACTAGTTATAAAAAAATCTGCCGCCTAGCGTTTGGGTTATGTCATGGTGCCAGGCATGTATTTTCTTCAAACTGCTAACGTTCAGCGAAGAACAAAGAATAGTTCTACAAAGTCAGGGCCAGAACATCTGGACATGGTCTTCGATCCAATGATTTCATATTTCCTAACCCCGCGTTCTTTCGACTTGTTTGGCCACTTCTAATCGCAATGCCGCTGGCTTGGGGGCAAATCTGGGTTCAAACACCTTTCGAAAACTTGCCTATTGCGTGTATTGATTGGAGTGTGCGGCTTCCAAGCGCGATTCGGTTATTTCATCTTCGCAGATCCCCCATCAAAAATCGGACCCATTGCGAAAGAAATCTTCATGTCTCGAACAATTTGTTGCGCCTGCTCTGCAAGTCAACCAAGATGGAGCTGCCGCTGGAGCTGGAGCTGGAGTTGCCTCATTGTATATCACTGAAGCATATTTCGAGTGGTTGTTAACAGTGCAAAGTCCGTAATTCAAGTCAAGCTACCATTAGATATGTTTAATTAATAAAAATTTTGTAAGAACGTACATATTAAGAAAATATTAAGGATTTAAAGCTCTCAGAATTACATTTGGATGAATACTTTGCCGATGGTTATATCCCCTTTGCTAGTATTGAAAATTAAACCTTTTATGTTTTGTATGTAATTTCCTATAAATGTCTTAGACTTACAAAGCATTTGACTTACCCAAGCTCCACTGTAATATTTCTTTGAACCGCGCATTTTGCAATCTTCATTTCTAATGCCTTGGAAACTGGCTGCAATTTTGTTGGTCGCTTGCCGTTTTACAGTTTGATTAGCTGGAAAATTTGCCATCGTTTAATTAAATTATGTTTGCTATTGGTAGTTAGATGTTAGTAGTTGGTGCCTAGGCTTACGTGTATGGGCAGTCGAATGACAATGGGCGGAAATGGCGAGCAATTTGCATGCAACGGCAGCTGACTTTTTCCACTTCCATCCATCCCCTTCGGCACCGATCTTCCCGTCCATCCACCATCTTTCTCCGAAGTGAAAGGTGCGGTCTGTTGGCCAACAAATGCTAGCGGATAAGCGGAAAGCATCTTGGCCAATGAACTCTGCGTTCTAAGGCAACTTCTTGGTGATTCTGCAATTTCTCTGTTCCGAGAGGGGAATTGAATTCGCAGTAAAATTGCTGGATATGCATGAACCGTAGGAATAATCTCTGAAACTATATGTACCTATAGTCACGGCCACGGTAGTTATATGCAGAACTTACCCCAAGGCATTTCTAAAGACCTTAAATCCGAGGTAGAGATACAGTTAGGCGGTTCGTAATGCGTGTCAATAGACTTTTGCCATGATTGATATTAGGAAAAAATGATAGAAGCCGAAATGTACATTACTAAATCCATTACTATTAGTAATATATTGAATATAAAGATCTAATTTAACTTATGTTCAGTCTATAAAAAGAAGGTTTAACTAAAAAAAGGGATCTATAACTCTTCGTCCCATTACACTCATTACCAACATGCACGCACATATTTCAATCATCTTGATGAAGTTGTAGCCAACTGTGCCACTGTGGAAATCGAGCTGGAAGCTATTACTCTTGGAGCCACATCAGCCCGCCTGCCACGCCCAACTCCACCTCCACGTCCACGTTCGGGTCCACCTCCACACCAATCCTCTGCCCCCTAGGAGCAAGGGAAATAGAACTCGCATCGCATACATATAGTATAGTATGTTGAAAGTCCCAAAAAAAAGCGCTAACGAACCAAGTGTGGCCGAGGTCCCTGGTTCTTGGTCCCTAATGGCCTGCACATGTGCTACGTGGCAGCAAACGAACTGCAGTTGGAGCAACCATTGGAGTCCACCCCCTTTGCCACCCAAATCCCCAACTCCCCTTCCCAGGATTGCCCAAAGAAATCGACGCAGTCACGTAAAATTATTTTAATAATCACATAACTTTCGGCATTTACACGCCGGGCGATCCAATGGGACTACCAAACAAAATGTCAATAAATTTCCGACTTTTTGTTTGGCCTGACCAAAAAAAATCATTTACAATAGCCAACAAAATTATAGAAGAGCTTACTGATTATATTAGGATGTAAACTTGTAAGGTCTTTTATTAATTTTATACTTTTACATCCAAAGTATATTCATAAACAGATAACTTCTTTTATTTCATGTATATCCAATTTTAAAGACTCATTAGCACTTTCTACTTGACCGCATCTGTACATGTGTAACAAAGTTGGGATATGCAGAGGAAAAAGTATAAGTTTTTGGTGGCTAGAGCGCTTAAGTGGGATTTGCGTGGCACTTTAGTGTCAACTTTAACAATAAGTTGAGAAAAAACAGGGCCATAAATGCCCAGCCGGAACATTCGGCTGCACATAAGCCGCAAAACTTTTGGCGGCCACTGTGGACTAATGAAATGAAGCCTCCCCTCGAAAAAAAAAGAGAAACATATATATAGTTAGCAACTTGAGCTGATTCCACACAGCAGGTGACTGTCTGAAGGATTCTTTCCTTTCTGGTCAGCCCCCGGACACGGTTTCAGCTATCAATTGCATCTGTCTATCCGACAGATACATTTCACTAAAGTCTAACCTGGGATTTTTCCGGGCCCCCAGTTTTCCCTCTTTGATATTCTGCCCAGCTGAGCAGCTCCAGTGCAGTCGTTTGAAATAAATTACTCTGTGCACCTGATGACAAACTAAACAAGACCCCTCGAACTAAACTCCGGCCATGGAGCTAAAGGAGTCATTATGTTTTTCATTGGGTTTAAAAAACTTGCCACAAACTTAGAGACTCTCAAAAGGCAAGGGTTATAAGATGGAGTAAACAGTTTGAAATACTTTTAAGGGATTTCTGAATTACAAATTGATAAGTAAATTCTCTATTAGATCAACATCTTTTAAGATCCTTACAAGTGTATGAAACTTTAAAAATCCTTTAAGATATTTATCAAAGAGTATCTAAGATTTCGGCTATTTAACTTCATTTTCCCAGTTTCTTTCTTCGCATTTGTTTCCCTTCTATGGCCGCATTTATTGTCATTATTATTTTGATACCGTTTTTTAAGTTTTGTGCCGTTGTCTGGCCAGTTTTCCTGCTATCTGGCCGTAGATTTATGCCAACAAAAGCCAACAATAAAAAATACATACAGTACGTTTTTGCTTTTAATTTGGTTTCTTTCTGGCGTTGTCCAGTTGGAGCGGCGGACAGCTGCATTAAAAAGTTGCCAAAGAAAACAGTTTGCATTGCAATTTTAGTCGGTTTTATTTTCCAACTCTCTTTAGGAGGTCGTTGTTTTCTTTCTATTTCTTTGTGCTTTGTTTTGCTATCAACGTTGCTTGGCCAGAAGTAAAAAATATCAAAACAAAATAAAAATAGATATATATACTTAAATACATATAGTATATAGTTTTGTGTGTGCCACAGGAGTGACCAGGGCCCACAAAAGGTTGTCCGGTCTGTTGCAACTCGGTTAAGCCCTCCCAACTGGGTCATTGTTGTCCGCTCTGGCTTACCGACTCAAGCAAAAGTAATGCCAAATCTGAACGCTGCGAATTCAATTTGATATGAAAATATATGCAGAAAAAGAAAGAAAGCCGTTTGAGCTGGTCAGGGAGCGTAAATAAAATACAAATATATAAAATAAAAAACATTTACTTAAACTAGGATATGTGGTACTTAGCAAGGTGTTCCTGAGAAGAAAGTAGAAAATATTTCATTTTGATATTTTTCAAAGTACAAAAAATCTTTTTAGATTCTTTTAGATATATTTATATAATATTTGTATAATATGATTTAATCTTCTCAACTTAAATCTTATAACTGAACCGTCTTTCTAGCAAATAGAAAATAGAAAAGAACAAATAATTAAGAAGCAAATGGTTTTTCTACTCCAATTTTTGATTAATAATTTTAATCCCTTTGCATGTTTAGGTTTTTTATTATAATTTCTTAAAGGCATGCAAAGAAAGAAATACTTAAATAAATTATTCAATTTATTTAAACTATTTAAGCACAAAAACCTTAGATAGTAAAGTGGTGCTTATAAATAAAGCGTTATGTGGGTTGACTTCCAACCAATCGAAATACCTCAATCACTGAGCTGTACCGCACACCTGTCAGGTATCCCTTGAAGCAACACCCCACAACTCATCCCGCATTGTTTGTTAATTTCTTTTATAATTTTTGCAATTTCTCTCTCACTACCAGTGCACTTCTGTGTCCCTTCGCCGATTTTTGCTTTGTTGTTTCGTTTCACTCTGTTCCGGCTTTTCAGAACTTAATTAAATGTTGTCACAGCGTACACTTTGTAGTCCCAGTGCCTGGACCTCTGCCCCTATGCCACCTTTCTTTTCCCTTCAAGGGTCCTGGGGATTCCTGTAGATCGTGGACATCCTGAAATGGGGGGAACTGGTCCGCTGGCTGTTTGTGACAGCAATTCGAAGTGTAAATGAAATAATAGCTGCTAAAAACCAATTTGGCGTAAATTATAAAAGCTTAATGGCCATTATAAATGGGGAACAGTTCCCCATCCACTATTCATCGGGCTTTTGGCTAACCTTTGACTAACAATTTATTTGCTTGTTCTCTTGCAGTTCCGTGGAGCTGATCGCCCTGCTGGCTATTTCGTGCACCTTCTTCCTGTTCATGCACACGAACAAATTGAACAGTCGCCTCAAGGAGATGGAGGTGAAGCTGCAGCCGTCTGAGTTCTCGGCCCTGGGACTAACGGGCAACCACATCAGCGGACACGATGCGGGCAGTAAGTCACTATCCCTCAGATTCAGATTCAGATACCCACCTCCTCCTCCTCCGAGACACCCCATTATCTCGGTTGCATATCTAACGCATCTCATCTCATCTCACTTCCACCGCGGAACAATGGACACAAGGCCAGATTGTGGGCCAGAATTTGCGCTCGATTGCATTCGCGTTGCGTTGCCTATCGGAATAAGGCATCAGATTTGGACAGGAAGTTTGGCAAAGTGCAAAAAACAGTGGGAAGAAAATGGGGTTCGAAGGGGGATTTAAGTTCTAGTACTTTAAAGATATTAACTGATTTAGACTTATAAGTAAATAAGCTTCAAGTTATTGGAAAATAATTAACCCAACATTAGTAGTTTCTCATTATTTTTAAAGAAGTAAATTTCTTTATTAATTTGTTAAAAATTAAATGAAAACTTTATAGAGATTTGCATAACACAACACTTTCTTATACTTTACCTCTTAGGAAAGTGTAGCTTAACCGAACGGCCTAATCCACCCATTCAATCTATTCAATACCGCCTTTAAAACCCAGATACGCCCAATTGATTTTTAATTACCACATTGACCCAAACCTCAAGCCGCGCTAAAACGTATTACAAGAGCGTTTCGGGGAGGCTGAGACCTTTGTTAATACTTTCCGTTGGCGCTTGCCATAAATTAGTTGATCGTTTTAGACTGAATTAGAGCTCGTGAATTAATTATGGTCTATTTCGCAAATGTAGCACAATGAAAAATATATATACTTCTATATATAAATATTAATTTACATTAGTTGTGTGTACTTTTGGAGGAGCACTAATAAACTGGCAAATTAAAATAAACATAATATACGGTCGATGCATCCATAGATTGCCGCTGCTACGAATATGTGCGGTGCACATTTTAATTACAATATGCATGTGTTTGCATATAGAGCATATATTTGTATTTGTACATAAGAGAGTCCTTTTTTGTCAATATTTTAGTGCATTAATAAATTATTTAGGAGCGACAGGACAGGACCGCTTGGGAGAAGGTTAGGGGCATTATCTGCGTGACTGGGAATTTAACCTTTTGACATAGCATTAAGCTCGTTTTTGTTTTTGTGGCCGATATAAATAATGCAGCATATTGATTGTAATATTATTAATTCAATTAGTAAACAGAGATAATGGTAAAAGCAGCAAAAGGAAATAGGGGATTAATTGCTATGGAATACAGAATCAGTGAAATCTGTTTGTGGTTATTCTACTAAAGCTCTTACGAGGGCATTTAAATCAAATAGTAATGCAAATACAGATTAGATTAATTATATCTTAGAGTAATCTGTTTGCATTATGGGAAATATTCCATAGGTTGCAATTCATAAACCATTTCAAATACTCCCATTGAGATCACTTTACCGCGGACCACAAAAGCCATCACTTGACACCTTTTAGCTCCACAATTATGTTTGCCAAACATACTCCAAATTCCGAAAACAAACCGCATTCGAGTGGATAGACAATAAAAATACCCTAAAAAGAGCATTATAGCTGGCCTGATGAAAATACGCTTTTGTGGAGTGTCACTTGAGATTCTGCCACTCAATAATCGTCAGCCCGAAACCCCAAATTAGGCCTGTGGCAGCCAACTAATAACGCTATTATTAGGCAACCGCGGAAAAATATAAAATCGAATCAAAACTCTCTGGAAATGCAAAACCCTAATTTCCATGCCGGAAGTTTGGCGGGCTGCTCGGGCCGTGCAATTCCACTTGCAAATTAGGCAAAAGTTGCCCCAACATCGCGGCGGCAGCTGTGCCAAGTGATCTCCACTTGGCTGATTTTCGCGGGGAAACTGTGAGTTGAAGGGGCTGAAGAAAGAAAACAGAAGACTTCACGCCTAACTGCAGTGATTGCCAAACAACAACATCAGTCAGCTGACACCACTGGCACTGTGGTAATGAAGAAAGGCTTTCTCTGCTTAGCGATAATCAAACACTCTGCTAGATCGGTAAAAAGTAACCTAAAGCCAATTTTTAAGATATATATAAATCTCTTATGTATAGTACTCCCGTTCAATTTACAAAATTTATTAAAATATATTAGGATATTAAAGTTAGTAAATCCATTTATCACCATTCAGAATGCTAAACTAAATTAAAATATAGTCGATTTTTTATAACGCAATATTTAAGAGAGAACTGGAACAATGTTGCTCTTTCCCAATTTATTTTCCATTTAATGTTAATTAATAATATTTACACCGTAAAACTTTAACACCAAAATGAAATTAGCCACTTAATTGTTAAATGAAATCCACATTACCCTCTTTGAGGGAATAAAAAGCGAAATTCCGCAGCCAAAGTCGATTTTCCACTGTACCGTGAGTGATGATGATGATGATGTGGAAGAGGATAAAGTCGGGCCAGATGCGACGGACCATCCAGAGTGCACTTGTGGGTTATGTTTGCCGCACAGCTGGTGGCATCTTCATTGTTGCCGCTCTTGCATTTGCGTCTGCGCACGCGTCAATTGCCGACAGTTACAAATTGTCCCCGGCTTGCTCGCTCCCCTCTCCAGAAAAGCCCGGCTAATGGTGAAAAATACACCAAATAGCCTAGGAAAAATGAAAGAAATTATTTGGGGAAATAAAAAAGAAAAACTAAACAACACCATGGGACGGCGATGGAGTTTTTCTTTGGGCCAAAGACAAAACGATGTAAACTGTGCGAAATGCAGGAAAAAAGGCTTACACCTTCAGCCAGTTGCTCATCCATTCATAAATATTTCATTTAATTGACTCACACGACTTGGGGTCGAGTACGAGATAAAGATACGAATATGACGACGTACTCAACATGCTCGTTTAAGCCATCATGATGATGATGACACCGTTTGTTGCCGTTGGCCGTCTGCTGTCGGTTTTTTGTCCGACTGCCTTTTTGTATTTATTTTTTTTTTTATATGTATTTGGCTGGCAACATTGAACTTGACTTAAGTTAATTAACGGTGCCGAACGATGCAAGCCAAGTTGTCTGGCGGTTTGTTAATTTCGCGGTCTAATGAGCAAATGGAGATGAGCAGGGGAAAATCTAAAGATTCTTGCGGGTTTTAGGAAAGTCTTATGATTTTAAAGAGTGGGTTAAGCGGAGAATGATTTATGGAAGCAACTGACCCATTTTCTAACCATTTTAGTTAGTTAGCTGCACCTCTTAATGTATTTCTTTAAATTAACTTTAAAGTACTAGAGTAATAATGATGATATGGTTTCTCTATGGTAAAGAAAACTAAAACTAGAAGAACATCATTTTGAGTGACAGAACCAATCAATATATTATATTATATTTATTTCTAAGCATTAATCACTGAAAATTTCTGTAATTCTTACATTACCTTTACCCAATAAATCTGTCGAAACCCTGTTTTTTATCAACTAAAGCCCTCTACGTAATAGATCAACCCTCTTTAGAACCTTTCAGCACTCTACCTGTCACAGGCTGTCTCTGTAGTAAGAAACGCCTTTAACTGGCACAGTAACAACAATCTTAACAAAAAAATGTAGCAATGCCAACTTTGCCCCTGGCTAAAATGCATAGCAAACCAGTTCTTTGCGCTCACTACCGAACCGGGCAGCTTTATTTTCAATTAGACAGCCACAAGACACGAACTAAGCCACGGACCCAAACACCCATAAAAATAGCATCAACGGCAATGGGATACCTCCGACTACAGAGAGAGAAAGTATTACGCAACTGGACACTAAATGGAGAGTTTAAGTTTGGAATTTCCAGTTAGTTTTTATGACCATATGACTTTTCATAAGATAGGAGTTCATAAAAAAATATTTTATTTTCTGGAACAAATTAGTTCCACAAACATAAGGATTTTAAGTGTGCAGCTTTTTCAATTAAAATTTGAAAGAAACTTATCGGCTACCTCTATGTTTCTCTCTCTGTAGCCCAAGTTCGCTGGGTAGCCAAACTAAGTGTTTCGGAGCTGAGGTCCAATTCCGCTGGAAAATGCAAGCAAGCAAGCAATTTGTGTTAGCAGGGGCGGTTCGAAGGGGCGCAGATAATTTTAGAGTCAGATCTTAAGATAGGGTGTGATAGAGAGATTGAGAAGTGAAACATAAAATTAACCTAATGAACGAGCTTTCGGGTGGGGTCTAACCGAGAATGAAAGGTATATCTAAGGAAGTTGGCACGTAAAATCTAGAAAAGGCAAAATCAAGATTTTATACTAAGTTGGTCATTTGATAATTTATTTGCTTGGCTATTGCGATCATGATAAAACTTTTTGGACCACTTCCCTATTTTGTCAGGTGATTCGAAAGTAAACATTTGCTTTTTAGAATTTCAAAGCATTTTACAGAAAATTGAAATGCCATTACTGGCTACTGGTTCGCACCACATAAACTCTGACCAATCCCAAAACCAACATGAATTCACATAATAGACTTCTCATATTCAATAAACTGCGACATATGCTACGTGGTTCACCTTCGTTGCAGTTGGCAGTTCAAACGGCCAATAACCGGAGCTAGGCCAAGATTGAAGGTCGGATTAGAACAGCCAAGTGTGGTGAAGTCAAGCCCAATCAGAGCAGATGGACAAGAGAGCTGAATGGTATGTGACCCAATTGCAAACCGCACGAAACGAAAACACACAGAAACTCGCAACAGAATCAAGTTAAAAAAGTGACAAATAAAAGGAGAGCAAGCAGGCAGGCTTCTATTTTAAGGTTTCGACCGCAAAATGTATTTCACTCGTGGTTCAGTGACTTTGTTGTCGGCGGTTTTGTGCAGAAACCCGGCTGAAACCAGTTGGTACAACACTTTCATTCATTCACATTTTCCAGTGAAACTGCAAAACTGCGAAACTGCCCAATTGACCAAATACAACGGATCTGGTTTAAAGGCAATCGGACTGGATATACGCAAACTTCCTTGTTCAATTCGCGGCGAATTATGAAATACTCGGCCATATAAACCCAAGTCTAACCAAAACAACACAAAAGTGGTGCGGCGACCCACACTACACTTGAAAATCAAGATGTTTTCCGCATCTCTCGGTCCAAGTGATCAATTGCAGTCATTTACCAGCTTGACTCAAATTGTCTGGACTGCTGCCTACGACTGCGGAGATTGGACAAATGTCTGGCATCAGCATTTTAATTGACCACACGACACGCAGAAATATCCATTTGCATGCGTTTACTTCTTAGGCTGGGTACTGGGAAGAAATGGGGGAAACCTTTCAAATCCGCCGGGGATGATCCCTATCGCATCCTAAGTATGTCGGAAAAGTGAAAGGAATCATCATGAGCTTGCATATTTATTGCACTCGTCTTTATTTATTTATCGTAGCTGTAAATGGCTTCAACTTCGACTTTGGGCCTCGGCATCCCATTCAAACGTTGCATAAACACTTTCGGGCCCAAATGAAAAGTAAAAGTATTCGGGTTGCTTCCTTTTTTGGCGTCAGTTTTAAGGTCATCGAATATTTCAGTTTAATTGGGGTCGAGATGATAACTGATATTAGTAATCTTAGATGATAATGGGATAATCGTGAGATATCGTATTTGATAAATGAGCCAAGTAAAGTAAAATGAAGTAATTGATTAATTTTCTATTACTGATGAATAATTTAATTTTAAATCCTTTCAAAGCATCTCCTATATAACCTTTTTCGGTACTCTTTCAGAGCACGACGACATCAACACTCTTCATGGCACCTACCAATACCTGAAAAGCACGGGCCAGGTAAGAGCAGTTTCATTTTATATATTTTGCATTTTACCATATCGCCGTAAACATTGCTGCATACATTATTGGTGGTTCATTAAGCGGAAAAAGCAACCATCGGCGAAAGCCCATCAAAAGCGACCGACATGTGGAGCGGTAGCTTCAGCTCCTTGGTGTTTGATATTGCATTTAGCCTACAGCATTTAGCATTTAGCATTTAGCATTCAGCATCTTGCCTGCCCGGATAATCTCATCTCTCTATGTCTCTGTCTCTGTCGCACTCATTGTGCCAATCGAGGATGTCATTATCCCGTAGCCTTCTTCTATTAAGACCTCACCCACATACAACACAAACAACACCCCACACACCCACACTAGAATTAAACAGTTTAGCCAAGTAGCTATCTGGTAGACTATCAGCTATACCTATATCTATACCTATTCTGATCCTATACCAACTCTGATCCTAGTTAGCACTACACTATCCTATCAAGATCTCTCCTAACACTAACCAAACTAAGAAAATTACACTTCGACTCTGTCTTGGAATTTTGTCAGCGCAGTCTTTTTTTTTTTTTTTTTTTTTTTGTGGTTCGTTAGTTAGTTGCGACATAGAAGCGATAGAAAATCGATTTATAAAGATTAAATAGTAAAGGTAAGTGTCCGTTATGGGGAGGATTAATATTTATGCCCACATACCACGCTGTGTTGTGAGCAGCTCTTTGCGAAATTTCTAAAAAGATGGGATGCCCCCAGGTGCCTTGTTTGTTGCTTTGATAAAAAAAAAAAATACAATTTTAAATGCAAGCCGCTTAAGCCTACTTTTTTTAACTTTATTTGTTGTCCTACTTGTGTTTTGACTCGTTTATGTGCGTGTATCTCTGTGTCTGTGCTCCCAACACCAAGAAACCAGCAACCTGAAAACTACTCCAACTAGCACTCCCAACTTTTGCAATCCGGCAGCTCAAACACCTGACTGCCGCACAGCTGAACAACACTCCTCGAGCCCAACTGGACACGATATTCTTCAATCGGATCACAAAAACCGGCAGCGAAAAGATGATGGAGTTGCTCAAGATCCTGGGCAAGCGCAATGATTTTGAAGCCCGACGCGATGTCGAGGGATTGTACGAGGTGGTCATAATGCATGACGCCTACGCCAAGAACTTTCTACGTACTGAGGTACTTAACTGCACCAGGGCCAACACCTATACCAAACACGTGGCCTATTTAGATTTTGATCAATTGGACGAACCATGGCCCATATACATCAACTTGGTTCGAGATCCCATTGAGCGGCTGGTCAGTTGGTTCTATTATGTCCGTGCTCCCTGGCATTTTGCCGAAAGAAGGGAGGTGTTTGGGGACGCTATCGCCTTGCCCGAAATCGACTGGCTAAAAAAAAACTTTAATCAGTGCATCGAGGAACGTGATCCCGAGTGTGTGTTCGAGCAAATGGAAATGGGAAATCTGGCCGATCACAGGCGACAGTCACTGTATCTCTGCGGTCAAGTCACAGCGGTGTGCATGTGAGTAGCTGTAGAGGTGGGAGGGAAAAACCGTAGGAGAGGTTGTTCGAAAAGAGGGTTAAGAGTTTCTACAATTGATAAAGGGCTTGTCCTTTTTTAACAAATTCTTCAAAAAACTTTTAAAAATTCTTAAGCTCAAACTTCAGTACAATGCACTTAATGATCATCAAGGAAAAATATTTTTAAAGAGTTCTAATGAAACCTAAAAGAACAAGAATATTCAAGCATATTTCAAATTAAAATTTCCTTGACTTTTCGATCAACTACACCTTGAGTTTCTAACCCAGTCCAAGATCTCCCTTAGTTAGATCGAATACCGAGTGAAACCCCATCCTCTGCAGGCCCTTCAACTCCCACGAGGCCATGCAGCGGGCCAAGAAGAATGTGGAGGAGCACTATGCCGTAGTTGGAACCTGGGAGGATACGAATGTCACGCTATCGGTTTTAGAAGGATATATACCGCGATTCTTCGCTGGGGCTAAAGACGAGTATTACGCTTTAAGGAAAAAATTGGGAAACGTGAACCGAAATGCCTTCAGACCCACTCTCAGTGATAAGGCGAGAGTCCTCCTCAGCCAGAATCTCACCCGGGAAATCGAGTTGTATCAGTTCATCAGGCATCGTCTGTACAAGCAGTACATAGCCCTTCAGCTGGATGCAGATCCTAAGCTAAGGGATTAGTGGGAGACTAGTTACTAAGGGTTCGTTGAAGAGTAATAAAACTATGCTAACTTTCGTACCGCTTCGATCTTTTCCGGAATGATTCTAACCCTAGCTTGGTGAATTTTCGATTGGTCTAGCTTCGGTAGGTTTCGCACAGATCTAGCTATACATATAGCCTATTATCCATGCAGGCGGTTGGACATAATGTTCACGATCGCCGGAGCAGCGAGGAGGAGCTGCGGAGTCCAACGGGGCATGGACATCATCATGATCACCACTCGCACCACCATCATGTGCACCATCAGGGCAAGATCGATGGCCATCAACACAAGGCTGCCCATGACAAACAACTGGCAATTCCTGACAACAAGCACAAGGAGGATGAAGTCCACTTCCAAGACGATGAAGATGGGGAGGATGATGATGAGGAAGACGATGACTTGGCCAATGGTGTGGGAACCAGTGATGAAGAAGGTTTCAATTTCAAAGCCGATCTCCTGAACAACACCAAATTCGCCGAGGTGGACTTTGTCTTTTTCAATCGAGTCCCGAAAGTGGGCAGTCAATCGTTAATGGAACTGATGGCTCGATTGGGCAAGATCAACGGCTTCACCCATGCTCGGAATAAGGGCAGTGTCCATGAAACGATCGTGATGAATAAGCAGCGGCAAAATGATCTTATAGCTGACCTCCTGACCCGACCAAAGCCACATATCTACAGCCAGCACATAGCCTACATAAACTTCACTCGTTTCCATTTGCCAAAGCCAATTTATATTAACTTGATTCGAGATCCGATCGACCGAATCATCAGCTGGCATTACTATATCCGGGCTCCGTGGTACTATCGGGACATGCAGGCAAAGTTGGGAGAAAAGGCATTGCCCATGCCCTCGGATGAGTTTATGAACCTCGATCTGGACACTTGTGTGCGGAACCACGATCCCCACTGTACTTTCGCCCAAATGCAGGTTAAGAATCCAGTGGGAGATCACCGCCGACAGACCTTGTTCTTCTGCGGCATGAATCAGAAGCTGTGCATGTAAGTAGGAAGTAGACAGGGACTTTAATTCTGACGCTGATAACCGAGAACCTTCGATAGGCCCTTTAACTCGGAGGCTGCCATGCAAAAGGCCAAGAGAACTGTGGAGACGGAATACGCCGTGGTGGGAACTTGGGAGGACACGAATATTACACTTTCTGTACTGGAGGCCTATATTCCACGATTTTTCCGCAATGCCAAAGTGGCCTACTATTGTAAGAAAGTATAAAAATCTAAGTTGAGGATGTTTCTGAATCCGCATAATCTTTTCAGTGGGGAAAGACCGCTTGTCACGAGTAAATCGCAACAATGTCACTCGAATCGTCAGCGATGAAACTCGACTCATTTTGAGGAAAAACCTTACCAACGAGATCGAGTTTTACGAGTTTTGCAAACAGCGTTTATACCTCCAGTATGCCGCCTTGAGTCATGGAAAGCGATTTGGAGAAGATGACTACCTCTTAGTGCCAGAACAGCAAAACGATTATAATGACGAGTATTAGTAAGGACACTAAGTAAGGAACTGAGAAACAAATTGAATAAGTGATAAGCCAGTATGAAATGTATGATTAGAATCAAACTCAGGACTATGTATAATACACGTACAAATTGAAGAAAAACTGAACAATACTGTGTTTACTCTATATCTATTATCATTATTGTGAAAAACTGCACTTGCCCCTGATGATATATACTTCACTTATATAAAAACCGTCTTCGATTGCTTTGCGTGTGACTATTTTCCGAAACACCTCCATGTGAACACAGTGTTCGGTGCTTTCTGTGTATCTTGAACGACCCAAAGAGCTTTTTGTGTATCTTCATGTCTACTGCTATAAAATCTGTGGATCTGTCTGTTGCTGACTTTTTCTACAACTGTGTCCTGACCTTTTCCAGCTGTGGCGATTAAATCCAAAGTTCCTCAATAACACCAAGTACCACTTTCGCGATATAATCTTCTACAATCGAGTTCCCAAGACGGGTAGTGAAACCCTGATCGAGTTTATGATACAATTGGGGGAAATACATGGCTTTCAGAATGAACGCGCACCGTTTGGTAAGCCCACTGGAATCTACTGGAACGTGGAACGTCAAAAAGAAGAAGCCATACGCATCCTGGACCTACAGGAGGAACCGGCTTTTGTCTATGTAGAGCACATGAACTACATGAACATCCGACCTTTTCATTTGCCCCAGCCCATTTACATTAATTTGGTAGGACCTACAATCTGCTTCTAGAAGGCTTACTCACATAAACTTTGATTTATCAGGTTCGCGATCCCGTAGAAAGAGTGATCAGTTGGTTCTACTATAAACGTACACCCTGGAACTCTGTCAAAATGTTTCAGGTCACCGGAAAGTTTCAGAACCGCTCCCACTACGCCAAGAATTTCGAAGATTGTGTCCTAACGCGCGACCCAGAATGTCGCTATGATTACGGACTTATGTTTAAGGACGATCCCTCCGATCACAAGCGTCAGAGCTTGTTCTTCTGCGGTCACTCACCCATTTGCGAGTAGGTAGTTCTATCTTTACGTAGCTCTCTGTCTAAACCATAAGGTTTTTCCACTCAAGACCCTTCAATACCCCTGGAGCCATAGCAAGGGCCAAACAGAATGTAGAGCGCGATTTCTCGGTGGTTGGTTCCTGGGAAGATGTGAATGTGACTTTGGCAGTACTCGAACACTATATACCTCGATTTTTCAAGGGCAGCACAAAGCTGTATTACGGTAATGTTCCCTTGGTGTTGCCTTTTCCGAGGTGCTAAAAAACCTGTATCTTCCCATAGAACCTAATAAGGGCCTTGCCTACAAGAAGCAGAATACCAACCACTGGAAACCGAAGACTAGCGAACGCATCAAGCAAATAATGCGACAAAATTTTACCCAGGAATATGACTTTTATTACTTCTGCAAGCAGCGTTTATATCGACAATATTTTGCAATAAATAGGCATTTGCATTTGTAAAGAAAAGTGTGCTTATTTCGTTTTCCTATTAACTACTTACCACCCACAATCCCGTAGTTTATCTTCTGTGTCGACATGGGTTTAAGGTTTTATTGGAAGAAATCGGACTTATATCTCTCCTCACTTTCAAGCTGGAAAACTTGGACCCCGCCCAACTGAATAATACCCCGAAGGCGGAGCGGGATTTTGTGTTCTACAATCGTCTGGAAAAGACAGGAAGTCAATCGATGACGCGACTTATGAAGCAGCTTGGTGAAAATCTTGGATATGTCACATATAGGAACATAGTGCGCCCTTGGAAACCGATTACAGATAGCGAGGAGGATGAAAAGGATCTGGTGGAACAGCTTTTTGATCTTGGGGAACACGCTGCTTATGTGGAGCATGCCAATTGGGTCAACTTCACAAAGCACGACAGTCCTCGTCCTATTTACATCAACATGGTTCGCGATCCCATACAGAAGGTGATCAGTGCCTACTACTATCAACGCCATCCCCTGATCTTTGCCCAGAGTTTGATACGGAATCCGAATAAGCGGATGCAGACCAAGCAGTATTTCGACACCTCTTTCAACGATTGTGTTAGGAATCGAATACCACCATACTGCGTTTTTGATGCCCACAATCCATTCAACGGCGATTGGAGGCGGTTTTCGCTTCACCTCTGTGGCAATTCCGAAATTTGCACGTACGTTTTACTCCAGGCTTTGCTCCAATATCAAGTTTAAACGGGATAGTTAGTAGTGGTAATAATAACAATGTTCTAAACTAAACTAACGAAATATTCTCTGTTGCCTGTTCGTTATCACGAACTTACTTGAGGGTCTGAATGTCCATAATTTTAAAAAGCCATGATTTCTATCCCCTTAAAACTTGACTGCGGAACGAAGAGTTTCCCACATAAAGGCAATACAAAGTTACTACGGTTTCTCCAACTCAGGCATTTCAACTCGGAAACCACCACGCAAATTGCTAAAATGAATATTGAACGGGAATACGCAGTTGTGGGCAGTTGGGAGGATACAAACGTGACCTTGGCTGTTTTAGAAGCCTATATACCACGATATTTTACCAATGCCAGGAATGTCTACTACAGTAGGTTTACAGATCAAGAAAAACGAAATAACTCAGCTAACGTTGAACTCTTTAATCTAGAAAAAACCGAGAAATTCCAGATAAACTCAGTCTCGCATAACACTGATCTGGATGAAGATGTAAAGGAATATCTAAGGAGCAGTTTTTCCTTCGAGATTGAGCTATATATGTTTATCAAGCAGCGACTCTACAAACAGTATATAGCAGTGCATAAGGATGAATTTTAGCCATTTTAGACTTAGATTCCATGAATTTTACCAAATTAATAAAACTACAGGGCTTACCAAATGATCTTTACACCTAAGTTTCAAATCGAGTCTCCTTTCTTTCGCTACTAATCATTTGAAGAGCTTGGTTGCTTGACTTCACTCTCCACTGTGACACCCATACCAGAAATTTATTCAACGGTGACCCACGAACGACCTTTGCAGATCCTGCAGCTAAGTCCTGATAAGCTAAACAACACCCCCAAGGCCGAGATCGATGTATTGTTTTTCAATCGAGTTCCCAAGACAGGAAGTATGCAGCTTATTGAACTTATGAGACAGCTGGGCAAAGTCCATGACTATGAGGTGGAGAAGGATCCTCAAAATGGAGGAGTCCTGGCCCTTCTGGAACCCGCTGAGGAGAGCGACATGATCGACAACATTGTCAACTTTGAGGACGGTACAGTATTCGCAAGTCATGTGAATTTCCTTAACTTCACCAAGCATGAGCAGCCCAGACCCATTTATATCAACATGGTTCGTGATCCTGTTGAGAGGGTTATTAGCTGGTATTACTACATCCGAGCTCCATGGGTCTTTGTGCCTGGAAGGAGGCGTAACAATCGCGAAATGCCAAACCCCAAATGGGTTAACACCGAATACGATCAGTGCGTTACGAGTGGTGAAAAGGTGTGCACCTACATTGAGAATTCACTGCTGGAGCATGTGGGCGATCATCGGCGACAGACTTTGTTCTTCTGCGGTCACAATGAGTTCAAGTGCACGTGAGTTAGGTTTGCATGCTCGTCTTTTCTCTCAGTGATCCCCTAACCTTTCTGTAGACCCTTTAATGCTCGTCTGCCCCTTCAATTGGCCAAAATGAATGTGGAAAGGGAATACTCTGTTGTGGGTACTTGGGAGCACACGAATGAAACCCTCGCTGTTTTAGAGGCCTATGTGCCTCGTTATTTTGCAGATGCCTCTAAAATGTATTACTGTAAGTCTTTCTGTGAATTATGAAAAGAAAATCTTCAAAATCACGAAGTAATAGGTAAAATAGTAAAGCTTTAAGAGCAATCCCTTCTTGATTTTGAACATACCTTTTCATTACCGTCTTCAGAACTTGAGAAACCTATATTTTTCAGCCGGTCTGAATGCCGATAAGCAAAATGTTAATCCAATGAAGCCACATATCTCGCAGGAGATTATAGATATGGTTCGTCGGAATTTCACACGTGAAATCGAATTCTATCAATTCTGTCGCCAGCGTTTGCACAAACAGTACTTGGCACTCAAACTAAACGATCTCAAGAGGGTGGACAAGTCGTTGGCCAGGTTAAGTGAGGCCAAGGAAATGGCAATTAATAACTAGGATATTATAATTATTTTTATATTAAATTAATAAAAATTAAAGGAGAAACTAAGACTTTTCATTTATGTCGAACATTTTTATCCACAATTTTTTCTTAGTGTGCTTTGGGCTTTATCATGATAAATCGAAATAAGAATGGGAAATGAAAAGATTTCTACAAAAATCTCTGTCCCACCACCTGAGGTTACTAGGATTTATTATCAAGATACTTGAGTATAAGGAAAACGACTGCAAACATGTCTTGCAATTTAGGCTCTTCTCCTAATTTATGACTATCGCTTTATAACCAATCACCCTGATAAAAGGAAAATACTTCTTATAGCTTAAGGATCGGGACGAATAATGATAAGATCGCTGCTTACTAACCAGGACAAACAGAGCATCAATAGGATTACCTTCGACTTATCGAAACCCTTATGATCCTTAGCTCCATCACCTGAGCGCAAATCGCCTCAACAACACAAAAAACGCAGAAATCGAAGTTCTGTTCTTTAATCGCGCCGCAAAGGTCGGGAGTGAAGCTATGCTAGAGCTTTTCATAGCTCTGGAAAAGTATAACGATGATCTGACACTAGAAAGACATGGTCTCCAAACCAGATCCTTTCGTCAAATGAACAAAAAGCAGATGCGAGAATCAGCCGAATTCGTAGCCGATCTGGAGGAAGGTACCATGTATATAGAGCACATCAACTGGCTGGATTTCGATGAATTCGATCTACCAAAACCAATTTACATCAATCTGGTCCGAGATCCCGTCGAGCGGGTGATTAGTTGGTTTTTCTACGCCCGAAGCTCCTACAAGAATGCCATCGAATACCGAAAGAGGCCCGATCAAAAAATAAAACCAGCTTCTTGGTATAAGAAGAACTTCAACGATTGCGTGAAAAGTGGAGATCCCGAGTGTCAATATATACCCCATACGGTCAAGGATCCGGTTGCCAATTTCAAAAGGCAATCCTTGTTTTATTGCGGTCATCACGATGATTGCATGTAAGTAGTTAGGGATAGTAAGAAGTTCCCCTGCTAAATCAATGGTGATATTTCAGTCCCTTTAACTCACCGACTGCCGTGCAAATGGCCAAGGAGCATGTGGAAAGGGATTACGCTGTTGTAGGCAGCTGGGAAGACACGAATATAACCCTGACCGTCCTTGAGCAGTATATTCCAAGATTCTTTCGTGGTGCCAAGCTCATGTATGAAAGTAGGTTCTAGAAACAGCTAAATCCTAGAATAGAAAACTCATTTATATACCCTATTCCTGAACAGTGCACAATAACAAGATCACCAATCGGAATAAGAACAAACGGAAGCCATTTATAGAGCCGGAAGTCAAGGAGATGATTCGCAAGAACTTTACTAACGAGTACGAGTTTTACTACTTCTGCAAGCAACGCTTGTACAAACAGTATTTGGCTCTCAATCTGAAAGAGTTGGAGAAGCACGGTCTTTTAAACTAATTAAAGGAGTATCTTCCGCCCCCTAGAATGTAGTAGATGATATTTTTGAGAACAAACCTTTACATTTCAATAAATCGTAGTTAGTGAAATCATAGACTAGACCCACACTGCCTTTACACGTTGAACCCATTTATCTGTGTCCCATCGATTGTTTTGTGGCATGAATCCCTTCCATGAAGCTTCTAAAACCCTTATCCCATACCCCATTCCCCAATAGTTAGGTGACCTAACACCTCGCCGACTGAACAATACAGCCAAGGCCGAGATCGATCGTCTCTTTTTTACAAGATGCGCCAAAGTGGGCAGCGAGTCGCTGATGGAGTTTATGGAGCACCTGCAGGATATCAACAACATCCGGGTGGATAAGTACGGAGTCAGTAAGAAAACAAAAAGGCAGCTGAAACCACTGGCACAGGCGGCGACTGCTGGCTACATCTATAACTTGGATGATGGATCCGTATACATTGAGCATACCCCTTGGATCGACTTCAATGAATACAATCTACCGAAGCCAATCTTCATCAACCTGGTACGCGACCCTGTGGAGCGAGTGATCAGTTGGTATTACTACGTCAGGAACTCCTACAGAAACGCTATATTCTACCGGAACAATCCCCTTGCTCCTCTAAGACCCACTGCTTGGTTTAAGAAAAGCTATAACGACTGCGTAAGAAATGGAGACCCGGAATGCCAGTATGTTCCATTGGCAGTTCGCGATGCGGAGGGAAACTTCAAAAGGCAATCTATATTTTTCTGCGGACACGATCAGGATTGTTTGTGAGTGCTGTAAACGGCGTCAAGGCCTCACTTTATTTTTCAGAGAAGTCCTCTTAATCACAACCCCATTTCAGACCCTTCAATTCTCCCCTAGCTGTTCAGATAGCCAAACGTAGAGTAGAAACTGAGTACGCCGTGGTGGGAACTTGGGAGGAGACCAACATAACCCTAACCGTTTTGGAGCACTATATTCCCCGGTATTTCGCTAGAGCTAAAATGATCTTTCACAGTAAGAATCCGGTGTCGAAGATATGTCTGAGTTAGTTCTTAAAGAATCTCCTTTTTAGTGTATCAGAAGACCTTACAGAATCGCAATCGCAATAATAGAAAGCCCCAGGTGGATGCCGATGTCAGGGCCATGGTCAGGCGTAATTTCACCCATGAATACGACTTTTACTACTTCTGCAAGCAGCGTCTGTATACGCAGTATATAGCTCTCAAGCAAAAGGAATTGAAAGAACTTAAGTAATCCTAGCTTCTTAGACTGATCTTTCTTTAGTTCCTAATATAGTTTAGTTGTATCTTGCTAATAAAGCACCCAATAGTAATTGTAACTAACAAGTAGAAAACATTTGGGAAATCCTTTAGAAAACCTTAGAACAATCCATTTATACGAATCGCAGCTTGCTTCGTTGAGTACTGAAAAGTTGAACAACACCCGACATTCCCAATTGGAAGTCATCTTCTTTAATCGAGGAGCGAAAGTTGGAAGTGAGGCTCTGATGGAACTTACCCAAACCATGGCTCCCTATAATAACATGACAGTGGTCACCAAAGGACCACTGAATGTTATATCCCGCACACGATCTCCTGGCGAACGAATGATCCAGGCCATTTGGGTGACCGAGCTGGAGCCGGGCACTATATACATAGAACATTGCAATTGGTTGGACTTTCACCGATATCAGTTACCAAGACCTATTTACATAAACTTGGTTCGCGATCCCGTCGAGCGCATGATCAGTTGGTATTACTACGTTCGCAGTGGTTATCGCAATGTCATACATCATCGACGAAATCCCAACGCGACAATACAATCAGAGAAATGGTTCAAAAAGAGCTATAACGACTGTGTCCGCAGTGGTGATCCCGAGTGTCAATATGTGCCTGGGACTATTAAAGAGGCAGTGGGTAATTACAAAAGGCAGTCCCTCTTCTTCTGTGGACACACTCGAGATTGTTTGTAAGTAAACTTGCAGAAGAGCTTCTTTAAATACAGACTTCCCTCAAATGGAGAACATTTTTCAGACCCTTCGACTCTCAGCACGCCATTCAAATGGCGAAAGTACATGTGGAAAGGGATTATGCCGTTGTGGGAACTTGGGAAGAGACTAACATAACCCTAACTGTACTTGAAGCCTATATTCCTCGATTCTTCAAGGGAGTTAGGAATATTTTTGAAAGTAGGTTTGCATGTTTCCGGTCTGCTTCAATATGCATTGGTTTCGTAGATACTTGAACACTCTTACTTTGGTTAGCTCCTGGGATAGGGATCAGTCGTAGGTAGTTACACCATATACACTTTGTTTTTCATCGAACTCATCTGTGTTTTGTTTTGGAAAAGCTATAATGAAGTCCACAAACACCCCTGAACTTAACAGCTAGGACGGGTTACCACAATGAATCTGAACAACACCCGATACGCTGGATCTGATCTTGTAGTCTTCAATCGGCCAACACGAGTCGACAGCGAGAAATTGATGCCACTCTTTAGGCACCTCGCTGCCATGAATGATATAAATGTGGTGCTGAATGGACCTGTTAGAACGATGAATAGAACCCGTACTGAAAAAGAACAAATTACCGAAGCGGAATGGGCCAGTGAACTAGAGAGTGGATCGATCTATATGGCCCACTCCAATTGGCTGGACTTTGCTAGCTTTGAGTATAAGAAACCCATCTACATTTCCCTAGTAAAGGACCCTATAGATCGAATGGTAACAGATTACTACCAAAGACGCTCTTGGATTAAGAGAGCCATTTCTAGAAGGGTGTATCCAGGACGTAATGAAAGACCCGAAGAGTGGTACCAACAGAGTTTCAATGAGTGCGTCAGGAATAGAGATCCCGAATGCCTCTTTATCCAGTATTCATTACAAGATTACATTCAGGACTTCAAAAGGCAATCCCTGTACTTCTGTGGCAACGACCCCGATTGCTTGTGAGTAGCTCCAGGCTTTTGATGACTTAACTTTAAAGTATTACCCTGTCCTCTAGACCCTTCAATTCCCATTATGCTATTCAGCTAGCTAAAAGAAGAGTGGAGAAGGAATATTCTGTGGTGGGAACTTGGGAGGAGAGAAACATAACGCTGACTGTGTTGGAGAAATACATTCCCAGATTCTTCAATCATGCTCGTTTCCTTTACAAATGTAGGTAGACCCCAGGGGCTAAACTCAAAAAGTGTTCAAGTATCGTTGGCAGAGCTTTGAGTGTCATGAACTTTTTTCTTTCAGTGCACAGCAAAAGTATCCGTAATCGAAATCGCAATAATCGAAAACCCCAAATAGATCCCGACGTTAGGAAGATGGTGAGGCGGAACTTTACCAACGAATATGAGTTCTATTACTTTTGCAAGCAGCGTTTGTATAAACAATACTTGGCTCTGCAGCTCGAGGATAATCTTAAATAAGGATCATATAAATGATAATGACAATAATAAAAGTAACCATTTTTATTGAAATTTATTTTGAATATGTTATGAGGGAAAGTATCTTTATATTATTCTTGGGCAAGACATATTGTAAGGTATAAGATTCGTGATTTTAAATTATTACTTTAAAAATTTCCTTAAGCCTAAAAACCCTCTTTAACCCAAATGCAAATCAAGCACCAAGGATATAAAGGTAAATTGGACCACAACTTTTTGACTTTTAGGATTTTCTATACCAATTTGATTTCTGATATATTTCTTTTAACCTCCTAACCAGATGGCCTCCCTCAACGTGCGGGATTTAAATAACACACGCAAGGCCCAAATGGAACTGGTCTTTTTCAATCGAGTACCTAAGGTGGGAAGTCAGACGTTCATGGAACTCCTTCGTAGGCTTTCCGAACGTAATAACTTTCAGTTCCATCGCGATGCAGTCCAAAAAGTGGAAACCATTCGTTTGGCCGAGGATCAGCAGCAGGAAATGGCCGAGGTGATCAGTGAGCTTCCCGAACCCTCGGTCTTTATCAAGCATGTGTGCTTTACCAACTTCACCAAATTCAACCTCCCCAAACCAATATACCTAAATGTGGTCCGTGATCCTGTGGAGAGAGTGATCAGTTGGTTTTACTACGTGAGGGCTCCTTGGTACTTTGTGGAGCGCAAAGCTGCTTTTCCGGATCTACCACTGCCCCATCCCGCTTGGCTTAAGAAAGACTTTGAAACCTGTGTGCTCAACGGGGATCAGGAGTGTACCTATACCCAAGGAGTTACGGTGGAGGGAATTGGCGACCATCGCAGGCAGAGTTTGTTTTTCTGTGGCCACGACTACGAGTGCACGTAAGTTTAGTCCTTAACTAGTGAATGAAATACTAGTCCATAACGTCACAAGCCTACAAGTGACATACTAAAATTAAAAAAAAAACACATTGTGGTTTATTTTGCAGACCATTTAACACTGTGGGCGCCCTGGAACGAGCCAAATTTGCCGTAGAGCAGCAATACGCTGTTGTTGGTGTATTGGAAGATCTTAACACCACGCTGTCTGTCCTGGAGAAATATGTTCCTCGATTCTTTGAGGGTGTTCGAGATATATATGCAAGTAAGTTGATAAAGCTTACAAAGAAAAGGAAAATCAATTTAGATCACTGTAAACTACACTGGTAACAAAGGAGAACACTATTACGCAATTTAATTTAATGTTATTAAGAATGCCTCACAATGTCAAGGTAAATTCAATTTAGATCGCTGCACCACATACTGTCAGCTATACTGAAAAAAAAGAGGACCATTATTTACCATGTCTTTAAATGTCTGCCGAAATATAATATATAGTTAATATCTAAAAATTGTTTTAATTAGAAAACATATTATAAATATTTAAAAGAGACAAGTCGAATCTTACAAAATTTCATATACTCAAAATGTTTAAAATATATCAATAAATCGTCGTTGTTTTTTGAAATTATTTTGTATATTAGATCGATTTTTTAATCTTATAATCGATTTTCTTATCATTTTTTGTGAGTGCAGTAGAATAATGGGATAAGTACCCACTTGAGTGTAATACTTTGTTACTTAAAATTCCGACCTTCTCTAAACTTGACACTGATGAGCAAAAACCTCTGACATAACAATAAACAATCACTGACCACATCTATGTGTTCGTATTTCTCATTTTATAGCCAGCGCCGAATACTTGACAAAGATCAACAAAAACAACTTCAAGCCACCAGTCAGCGAACATGTAAAGGATATAGTGCGTCGGAATTTTACGAATGAGATCGAGTTCTATCAGTTCTGCCGCCAGAGACTCCACAAGCAATATCTGGCTGCCCATTTACCACAGCGGATTATCACAGACTCAGCACACTTGCCCGGCCTGATTGGCAATTAAACACTTTTAAAAATACGAACAAATGTAGAAACAAATATGACAAACAAAATCGGACTCAAAAATGTAGTCAGCTAAGTTCCCCATTATGTTGTAGCTAAATAATTGTTTTCTCTTGTGTATATTTCAAAATGGTTATCAAAAATATGACAAATCCTTCTTATATTTATATTGATTAGTAAGTACTTAATGTTAGAAAGACCTGAATTTGAATTGTGATGTCTTCAAGTGAACTGTTGAAATTTTTGTTTTAGTATTTTAGTTTTAAGCTGATTATGATAATACAATGTATAAACTAATAAATGAATACTTTAAGAACACTTCGTTTTTGCACTGTCTTTACTTTTTCAACTTTTAAATGGAACACATAAGACTAAAATAAAAAACTTCAAATAATTGATAAAACATAACATAATAATGGATAACAATATGCGATGTGTGCGACGTACCGCAACCTCCAGAGTGTTTTAATTTAACGTCATGAAATATAGTTTATTAAAAATATAGAAAGCGAAAAGCAAGGAAAACAAAAAAAAAACGTTTGGTTGGCGCTTTAAACATAATCTGTTCTGTGAAATGGGATCCTTCAGGTTGAGATTTTTATTCCAACTTATAGCACCTGTCAATTATTGTCGAGCTCAGCCAAGGATTAAATGTACGTTTCTTTCTATAAAAAGAACAAATAGTTAACCCTTAATTAAATAATAGTTAATAATAATAATTTATTACCTTTCATTGCCAAAGAAAGCAAAAGCCCCTGACTGCATCGCGTCCCATGGTCCAGGTATATTTCTATGCACTCGTATGATATTCGATCCGGAACAATCATCGCCGGATACTTCTACAATTCGTTGGGGCTCCTTTATATATCGCGATGCAGGATCCATTTCCATTAACTGTAAAATATGATCATCGTGTAGTTGTAACCAATCAGGGTCTTCCGACCGAATGTTCAATAGCTCAGGAGCCAGGCGTTGTACTGCATTGACAAATATTGCATCTAGGGCACATGTGATGGGGCATTGGTAGGCAGCAACATGCAGCCTGAATCGTGCCTCGAACAAGCGATATATGCGATGATAGTCTTGATAACGATACTCTATGCGTTGGCCGTCAGGTGATATACGAGCCTGAAGAAAAACATCATCAAAATTCATTTCCGCTGAGGAAAGTATTTTCAAGCGCTTGTTATCACGGCGCAGATAATCCCACTTGTCCACATCTAATCCGCAGCGACGGTTATGAACAATATCAAATATGTAGTTATGTCCCATCATGGGAAACGATAGGGAATCACTGCAACCTATTATCAAAGCCTTAATCAATTGAACTCCTCGCCCACTGCCATCGTCCCTCAAGGAAACCAGCTCCTGATTTAGGGCATCATTAAAAATTATATCCACACAGGCCATCGCGTTTTCTTCGTGCTATGGGATGAACTCCATATTATATGTCACTGTATAACAGATTAGAGATAACTTACATCAAATTGAGGGTTCACAAGCTCCCAAGCATGTGACATTGGTCCATGTCCGACATCGTGAAGGAGAGCGGCTATCTCCACCGCCTGGCGACACCAGTCCGGTAGTTTTGGCTCGTAGTGGGAATTCCTTTCTATGGCCCTTAGGTGATCCTGTGCACTTCTGTAGGCTCTGTAATACAAAAATACTTTTGTTAAGCTTTTAATTTATAAAGTACTTTATTTCCTTTACCCCAGGCAATGATCGTATCTCTTGTGATTCGCCTCCTTATCGAGGCACCACGGCAGGAGTCCCAACTGATGAACATGTTTTAGGCGCTGAAAAATAGGGTGCTCCACTATCTCTCTAATATGACTGGGGACTTCAATGACACCGTAGACCTCATCCTCAATAAGCATCTGTAAGGGTTTATAATTAGATATACAGACATTAATTAATAAGTTAATAAAATACTGTATAATTATTTTAAATATTTCTTTGAATACGTTCACATTTTTTATTCGTTCGTTACTTCTAATCATAAATAAATGTTTAACATTTAATGTGTGTTAAAGCTCGCGTAAATGAACCTGATACGTAACAAAAAATTTTAGAATGGAAAATGGTTTTAGCTGCTGCCACCGCTGCTTCCGCTACTACTACTACCATTGGTGTCATCTCCATGTTCCCCACACATGAAGACTATAAAGAGGCTAAGGCATATGATGTCTGGAACTAGGCCCATGGCGGCCATAGTATACTCCTTTATTTCGAACTGACCATCGATCATCCGTCGAAAGTTTAGAATGAGCGAAGCACTAAGGATAAATATGAATTTTTAAAACTTAATCAAATTTATCATCATTAATTATCATTTATTAAAAGTGAAACTAACGACAGTCTTACCAACACGGGAGAGTCAGCATTTGGGCAGCTAAATATAAAGTTATGAAAACACTTTTGCTCACAGACTTCCAAAAAATTTACAAATTTATGATAGACAAGTAAATTACGGTTGTAAAATTTAGCTTCCAGTTCTTTGATAAAGAGTATGTGGTACCTTCATTAAACATAACAACTGTGGCTGCTGTAATCAAAGTCATAACCTTGCTAATCTGTAATATTTTGTTAAGACGCAGTTGGTTTTTTTATTAGCACAATGTTCTTACTGTCACTTTTCCATGAACCCTCTGATAGTATTTTGACCTAATCGAATTCGCGAAAAAAGGCATTTTCACGTAAAATAGTGTCCAAGACCTTCCACCCTGCACCCTGCCGACATATGGAAGTAGAATTGGCATTTAATTCAGACTTTTCAGTTAAGAATGCGAGACTTTAAAAGCAAAGTAAACTGTTTTCACAAATAATTCATTATGAATGAATTTCATTTTAATATTTCAAATCCTCGTAAAACTAGAAGGTGAAAATTGATGTATTTTTAGTAGATGCCATGGCTTCCGCGGAAGACTTAAGATTTGTAGACCTAAATCTACTTTGTAATAATAAAAACCTAGAGTTTTACAAATTAACATCTATATTTTCTTTCTATTTTATATAGATTTGACATGACTAAACCCTCTAAGATTAGATTAAGCACTTAATACAATAATTTTTTAATCACTTAATCTAATCTAAGAGTATTATCTATTAAGTACTTAATAAAGTATTTAATCTAATCTAAGGGCAACGTTTTAATTTAGATTTAACTTTCAACTGTTTTAAAATATATTTGAATTGAAATTTGTGAGAGCTATGCACATACTCATCGTTAAGAAAAAAACATAAAACTAATAAAATCATCAAAAAATAATCGATTGTAAAATTAGAAGTGTGGATCACAATGTGCTGCATGTTATTTATAGCGTATGTTCCAATGTTCGAAATACTAGTTGTTCATTTTGCAAAATTATTATGAACCATTTTTTTAAAATCATAAACTCTTATTTGCTCAAAGCATACGTTCAGTCTTTATAAAAAGGGGTTACACTTTTCGATTATATAAGAGATGGTTTTTTTGTTTATTATATAATAAATTGGAGTACCAAAAATAAAATCAGGAAATAAGGCATAAGCTAACATGCCAGATTATGCGTTATTCAGTCGATAATTACGAGTGCGATCATTCAAATAACTTGATTTCGGGAACAGTAATTGAATGTGATTTGCAAGAGGTTACATTCATAATATAATATATAATGAATTTGTAATAATATTGGTGTAATAAATCCAAAAAATGTTCAATACATTTTTACACCACAGCTTTATAAATATTTTGTACATTTAAGACACTCCCGTTAAGGGAATTCTTCAAAATCGATATCTGTTAAAATAAAAAGGTCCTATTACACCTTGATGATATATTCTTTTCGTCGATAATTAAAGTGACATATCCTTATTACTTTAAAAACTTTACCGATGTTAATTAATAAAATAGTTTTTATTGGTCCAAGTATTAAATCAATCAATTTATGGAAACCGGTTGCAGAGACAAAGCACTAAGCACGTTCTTGTAGAATGCTCCAACAACAACGGCCAAAGTAGAACTGAGCTTAATTAAAAGTTCTCATTGGAATAAGAAGAGAGGATTGATTTTCCTTCTCAAATACTAGTTTTCCATCAGCTCTATGGCACATTCTATTAATAAGTTAAACTTCTTGAACTTCATAAATTGATGTCGCGTCACAAAGAAAAATTTGTAACTGTTGTTCATTCATATAAATTGGTTAGAATACTTCTTATTGAAACAAAATTTAAGCTTACGGCTTAGCAAATTTTTAATTTTTGATCGTTTTACCACTTTTAACATTCAAATATTTTCGTTACTTTCTTTTTTTTCTTTGATTCTTTTGTAGTTGCATATAAGAACACTTTTTAGATATGTTTAGAAATCTTTAATATACATACAAAAAAACTATGTATTTACTTCTAAGTATGCACACGAATTTACGTAAACATATTTTCGTAAAGATAAGGAAGGAATTATAATTCATGTATGGTATGTGTTTTTAATTGCTTTTTTTGATAAAAGCAAAGTAATATACTTTTCAGTATTAGTATTTGTTAGTATTTTTAGTTTAGATGTATTATATAACAAAAAAAAAAAGGCTTCGTACAAGAAAGTATCCGAGTAATATTACGTTTATATGATTTTCAGAAAATATACCGTTCAAAATAATACATATCTTATTTAGTTATTTTTGGGAACACATTGTTGCCGATATAAGGAAATTTTAATAACGATGTACAAAAAATCGAGCGAAATTAACAAACAGCAAAGAATAACACGCTCGTTTGGTTTTGAAACCTAACCGATATAGGTCAAATGCGATAAGTGCATCCTTTTGCAAGTGCAAACAGCTGTTCTAAATGCACAGCTGAGCGTTTCCATGGGAACGAATAAAGCGGGAAAACTTACCGTTTGATGTGCTTCTGCTTGTTGTTGTTGTACATGTTGTGGTTGTTGTTGTTGCTGGTGGAGTAAGGGAAGCTTTGTGTTTTCAGGATCGAGGGATGGGGAGGGGCGTCGCTGAGCGGGGGAGCAAATAATTGCGCCTGCGGTTGGCATTCTAATTGGATTCCTGTTTATCGAAAATCCGCGTCTGAAGAATAACCGACTGAGGGAACAGCACGACGTTTTGAAAGCTGTCTCGCCGCCGATATCCGTAAATTCACTAAATTTTTGTTATAATTTTTCCAAAATTTCTGGTCTGTTAGCTACACAAACACAACTGTAATTTTTTGGGGACGAACCAGAACAGCTGATTGGGTCAATCGGCTATCGACCAGGGCTGCGACATAAGCTACGCAACATTGGCGCCATTTTCAAACAATTGAATTTTAAATATTGTTTATTGAACTAAAAATGGGAATGTAACAAATTTTCAAACAGGCTTGAAGGTTAAATAAATTTTGTTTAACTAAAAAAGAGAAAATACACAATTTTTAATTTAATTAATTTGGAGTTATATTCGCCGATGTCAACTGTCAAATTCGTATATTGACGTAGTAGAATCGTAACATTATTTTATTCCTGGTTTTTTTAATTGAAAATAAAACAAGCCGAGTTCTTTTTTGAACATTATTTTATTTTAAGTTACAGTTACAGCTTTTTTTAGTTTTCAGCCTAAACATATTTAAGAATTTAATAAACTCGTAGATCGTATAACTGTTTATCAATAATAGTTTAAACATCGTAGAAGTCCTAAAAGATTACGGCTACGCAGAGATGCTATAGTACAGCTCATCTGTCGACAAAACTCTCAGCAGAGACGATTGCGAACTTTTTCGTTGTTAAGGTTAGAAAGAAGTTCTACGGGAGTATCGAAGCTTTTTAAACTTTAAACATATGTTCGTACTACGTATATTACCTAGTAGGTAATACATACCTAAAAAAGATGGGTCCCTTGGCAATTTTTTCGTTTATGAACTTAACAAAAATTAATTTGTTTAGCTGCAAAGGTAAGCAAATTTTGCCTTCCGAATTTGCCTTTTTTTTAATGTAAATAATGAATATAAATATGTGTATAGGTATTTATTTAATTAATTCATTAACTCTAAAATTTGTGGTGAATTCAGCTTAAAAAAAAAATTCATCTCGGCCTTTCACTTGTCCCTCACAAAATGGTGGCAATAAATATTGAAAAGCATACTTTTTGGCACAATATATAATATATTATTATCTGCTACTCTCTGAAAAATTTGTACATTGAGACAAAACTACATAATTTATTCGAACTATTCCTTATCATATAAAATATTTGAAATTTTATAGGCAATAGATAATGACATTTTCTCTTAAACCAAATATGTGAACTACTGAGAAAATAGCGCGACACCTATACGGACAGCAGTGGAACTGTCCTCAAAAGGTGCGCGACTCCGCTATTTAGATCTAGTAAGCGAATTCGCTTCAAATATTGCGCATATAGAATGTAAGTCTATTTTCCACCAATAGCTCATAGAATACTTTTCGGCTAAATTTACTATAAGACTATCTATTTTTGGCTTCAATGTTCCTTTTAAAATTTAAATATGTATATATTTTTCTGAAACACAGCAGATCTCTAACTAACAAGCTATGATAAAATAAAAATCTTAAAATTCGCATTTTCAACAGGAAAATAAATAATTTTAAATTATGAAGCGATTTTTAAGAGGATTTGGATGGAGAGAGACAAAAGTTGAAGTATGCTTAGCGTATTATTCTTAAAACAAGTGGCTCCAAAAATAACAGGTATCTGACAGATCTTCAACTACAGCATAATTATTAATTTTAAATATTATATTCACAATGGCTATAAACTACTATTTTAACATCCGATTTAATATCTGCCGTGAACGAAGTATTTATTTATCGTTAAAATTATTTCCTTAACACTCTATCGAGAAACAACGTCTGAACTACAATGTGCGTAGATTCTAATAATTCTACCTCATTTCAGCACTAAGCTAGATATTAAAATATCCAATATCCATAGAATCTAAGTGCCAAATAATGAAAACGAAGCAAAACTTTGTTGCGCCTTCCTTAAATAATAATTAAGGTGTCATATTATAATAGAATAAATGCAATTAAATTAATGCCCAACAATAATTTATAATCTTTTCAAAATAAGTACAAATATATCTTTAAAATTTCAAACGGCAAACACAAAAGAACTAATTTAAAGTGTTAATAAAATCATAGCTAGTTGCGGAAATTTTGTTACAAACAATTCTAGAAAGGCTTTAATATGACTTGAATTAAAATGACTTCATGCATTCATTCATTTTTTCATTGACTAACTGACTAATTAGACACCCGAAACTGAAAATTAAATTACAGTTAATTTAACGTCATGTGATAAACAAAGCCAATTTAAACAAAATACTAGGTGGTTCTCGTTCTTTCTCCCAGGCATGTTCCGGGGAGGGTGGAGGGTTCGTGGCACGTGGCTCACAAAGCGTGGAAATTGTTTTTGCTGAGAGCGCCGTCGCATTGAAGTGAAAGCGAAAGTTTGCCGCTGACCTAGAGATGAAAGTAGAACAAAGAAGAGAAATGGTCAGGACAAGAATTGTCAAGAGAGGCTATCCAAAGAGAATGTTTCTTTGCATATGTATCTGCAGCCAACAGAAGTGCCATTTCCATTTAAGTGCAATTGCAATTCCTGCATCTACCCGCACAGTTCTCCCAGCAGTCAACGCACTTTAAAAATAACAGAGAGTACATTTTACCCAATAATTTTACCCCAAGATAAATTCGTATCTGTGCCTCAGTTTATCTTAAGTGAGTAAGTGAGATAAATAACAGCACGTAGAAAACCAGGCTACTACAAAAGCGAAAAAAAATTCATAAAATAATGAAACGAACACAGAAATCGGGCAAACAATTTGGGTATGCAAATATAAACAAAAAACAAAAATGTTCGAAATGCCGGCTCCCAATTTGCCGAGTGGAGCGATGAAGAGAGCCTCAGCTGAGAGACATCTCCGCACCGAGAGAAATTCAAACTGAGAGCGTAACTCAAACAGCAAACAAATGCTGCACAGTGGTTTTTGATAAAAATTAAAAAAGAGAGCGAATTTAAGCACTTTAGCAGTAGACAACCAAATGTAACTTATCACCTAATTTGACTTTAAATAGAAAAGACTTTAAGTAGCTCCCTGAAAATTATTAAAGCAATCGCAAGCTATCTATATCTAACATCTTAAATATTTTTAAAATTCGTTTTTTATTAAAAAGTATAACATAAGTTTCCTGGATCAGACAGATTTATTAATATAAAAAGCCAAAAACTTACAAACAAATTTACATTTACAATTTTAAACAAAGCTCAAAGCTATTAATTATATTTAATAGCTATTAAAATATGTTATTATGTTGATAAACAAAAGTAAAATCATATAATATATAAAAAAATTTAATAGCTATTAAAATGTGTAAATAAAGATCTATGTTTATAAATTTTTTTAATTTCGAGTACCAAAATCCAAATCAAGGCACCACTGTTCATCAATTAATAAGTGAGTTCTCTCGATTGTTGCCGCTCTCTTATCGTTGGCATTTAGAACCCAGCTATATCTAGCAGCACCACCCAAAAGCCGCCCGCCGAGCGGGAGAATTCCCGAGAGAATTGGCCAGAGAAGAGCGGTGAGAACGAGAGCGAAAGTGAGACCGCAAAGGTTGCAACTTTTGGCGAGACTTGCCTCAGTTGCCACACGACAGGACGGCCAAACGGGCGAATTAGGAGGTAGAAGACTCAGGCCTAGTCTAAAAACCGTATCCGACAGATACACCGACAGGCAAATTAATAATAATAATTAAAAGCGCTTCGTGACAAAATCCCCTCTCCCTCCTCTCCACTCTGATATGGCAAATAAAAAATAAATAAATAAACGAAATAATTCTCGAAAATCTTTGTATCTGTGTATCGGAGAACTGAAACCGAAAAGAGGCCGTCGTTTGGCGCTCTCGCATCTCAGTTGCCAGTGGGCGAAAGACGCAACTGCTGCGACCTTGCAATGCCCTTGAATGACACTCTTATTGCGACCAAGTCGCCAACGTTGCCACTCCAACGGGCGCTGCTGCCACGGCTGCCACTCAGCGCTGGCAAAAATATAAATAAAAATAATAACAATATTAGCTAAAATCCACGTAACTACATAGACGACTACATAAAGCCAAAAACGAAACGCTGCGCTGGGAAAAAGTGAAAATTTTATTGTAGTCAAAAAGTTTTCGCGTGCCTTCGTGAAAGCCGAAACACCCCGACGGATCCTTATCAAAGCCTTAACCCAAATCAAAACGAGAGTGCGCTAAATATAAACGAAATAATTAAGGTTTTACAACAAATTTACATCCTCAATATAGAAAAATCAAATTGAATAGCAAGATAATTGAAAACATATCTGAAAAATCCGAGAAAAAGAAAGTGTTATCTAACTAGCGCCCCCTGGCGGCTTGTGTACCTGTGTGTGTGTGCGGCAAGTAAAAGTGAAAGTTCTCGACTGGCGAATATCCTTCGGTAACCTTTCCCCAACATTGGGTCACTTCCTTTGGCATCGAAACATAAACGACAGCAGGGCACGCAATAACCAAAAGGCCCCAGCATATATAGTAACTATATATACCTAGAATCGGTATATGTAGGCGATATTTATGCCACAGCTTTTGACAAGCAATTCTTTTTATTGCTACGCCGACGGGCGCGAGGAAAACACTGGCAAAGGCTGAAAAGGGAACGCCTTGGAATAATATTAAAACATCAGGTTGGTAAATCATATTTATTAAAAATCATCATAATGTATACAGTAATTAAGAGCGTGTTTCATAATCCTTGCGTGCTGATTTTAAGTATCATAAATATGTACCTTCCATTGATGATGCTGCAATTAGCGTGTGCGTACATCCATCGGATACATTTGACATTGGCTTTGCCTCTTAAAGTCAAAGCCTTGTTTGCTGAACTGGACATGGAGTTTTCCATATTTGTCAGTGTAACACGAAAGAAACTCAAAAGTCAGAACAAGTTCAATTGAGTACAAGTTCAGGGGGTTCAAGACATATCCCAGACCGGACTATAGCTATCAATTAAGAACATGCAAGTAGTCTTACGCGTAAAGTGGAGCATACCGATTAACCGGTTCTGGCAGTGATTTTGTATGAAAGACTTTATATTTTATTTAATTACTTTATTTATTTTGCATCAATCAAACAAAACAGCAACTATTGATAAATAAAAAGGGGTAACTAAGTAAAAACTAGAAAATTGTTTTGTCTCCAGGAACTTAAAAAATATTTGTTACATAAACTAAACATAATACAACATGAATTGATGATGAAATAAAGCCAATATTTCTGATTTTGATTCAGTAGCATTCTATGTAGCTCTTATATAACAAATACACTGCCGGACTAGTCCTTTCCCCAAATCAATATCTCGGACTCGTAACAACCTATGAGCACATTTTCTTGGCTGCCGGAATCAAAACAAAACAATCCAAATCTCGTTATCCCAGTAATCAAAACAAGCCAGAATATTCGCAGTGCTCTGGTCCGCAACAATAGCCATAAAAAAGGGAACGCGAAAGCCAGTTGAAAGCGAAAGTATTCTTCCCCCCGAAGTATCTTTGTATCTGTAAGTTAGTTTTCAGGACGGCGCAAGCGTTTTTCCAGTTCTTTTTGCCTTTCACGGTGCTTGGCTTTGTTTGCTTTTGACATTTCGTTGGGTAGCAATGTCATACAAATATAAATAAAAAAATCCACGCGCTGCCGAAAAGCGAAAAGAAAAAATGAATGTGGAAACCACCCACATCCGAGAACACGCACTCACACACACGCACGCAATGTATCTGATAGATAGGGAAAATTACCGAACGCAAATTAGCGCTTCAAACGAGGCTCGTGTAAGCCACTTGTGTATTTCAAATTTATTGCGGTGAAGTTCTGATGCAAATCGATTTTATTTTGGGTGCTCCCGCCCCTGTCGTTATCCAAATTCCCGGGAATGAGCCACATGCCCAGGTCTAAATTTCAGCTAATTCACCATTAATATTATATATTATTAATTTTGGTTTATTTATAAATAAAGAAGCCAGTCAGCTGTTGCGGTTTGTTGATGGGTGGAACACGTATCTATTGAGCTCTTTCCAATGCGCGGGCGGCACTTGCCGGTCCGAATAGAACTCATGCTAATGATATATGCGACAGTGAATGACAGCGTGAAAATGTTCTCTAATGATATTCCTTTCCCTCTATTAGCTGGCCAATTCAAACTAGCTAGCTTATTCAAACGAATCTCTCAGATGAAATCAAAATTGAGTATGCTATTTATTTTACTTAATAAACATAATTTAAAGATAAATAAGAAAAAATATTCTTAACAAATGTTATAATATTAAAAACAAACAAATAACTTTATAATTTCACTTTAAACGTAATAATTAGCTTAAAAGAAAATACAAATTCAGTAATTTCATAAAATTATTACAAATTTCACGTCATAGATATTATTTCTTTAGATGGATTTATATAATTTTCTACCTAATCACGAACTTTATTACTATTTTTTTAATCTCTTAGATTCCATATTTATTTCAATAACCAAATCGGTTGTACACTTAAAGGCATCTTGATAACATTTAGAATCTTTATCTAACCAGTTAGAATTATGTACAGAACCATCTTATCTTATCTTCAAGCTTTATATTTCTAATTAATTGCCTGTTAAGACTAAGTTCTCTGAGCATATTTGCCTTGTAGAACAGTTCAATGATCCGCTCGGCACTCTTATCACCTTTAGGCCCCCTGTCATCCATCAATCTAACTCAAGTATTGCTAAATCAGGATTACAAACTACTCCTGCGCCGAACTTAAATAGTATCAAATTAGTTACCTAATCTCATGCCCAACCGGCAAATGCAAAAACCGTACGCTGATTAGGCTCATATCGAATGGCCAATTCGGGCATACATATACTATATATAAGAATATATAATCTCACAATCACAGCGGGCAGTCCCGGAATGTTTTCCAAAGCCACGAGGCTGGAAGGACAACAAATATTAAACGCTGATAGTTTATCTGCGGGTAACACGGTTGATACGGCCACAGCAATATGTCACACTATTTACCAATTTATTGCAGTAACTGAAATCCGTAGGAGGGTTTGCTCGATGCGGAAAAAATAATTTATGCTTATGATTCTAAGCTCTTTGGATTAACATTGTTTAGAAATCATATACTATATTATTAGATATTGATCATTGATCATTTATATCCATAAGTATGGCAACTGAGGTTTTCTATATGTGTAATGGAATATTAATCTGAAAACACTGACGTGTTAAAACTTATTCCATATTCAAACTGTTTTCCTTTCTTGTTAAGTTCTACCAAAAATACATTTATTTATCTTAAAGTGCCTTAAAAATGAATTTGATTACAAGTTGCCTTAAATTTCGTAATACCTCCGCCGAAAAAGGGCACTTCAAAGAGCAGTTAGCTAAGATTAAGATTGAGACAGACATCCGAGGCTGCGACGTCACCGATCACGAGCATCTGACTATAGCGGCGGCTGTCTGCCAGAATCGAGAATCGGCGCTGCAGTTACCTTTTAGGATGCACTGCGATTGCAGATATAGGGGAACCGCTACAGATACATTTACAGATACAGATACAGATACAGATGCGGATTCAGATTCAGATACGGATTCGGATTCCCGAGGAGGCGGATGCGGATGCGGGGTGAGTGCAATCAGCTTGAGGGCAGTGTTTGGCTGCGATTTGCGATTTCGCTCCGCTGCGCTTCGATTTCGATTCGATCCCATCGCACGGCATCGCATCCCATCCGATCCGATCCGTTCCGATCCGATTTTGCCTTATCAATCAGGGTGGATTTGCTGAATGCCAAAAACACAACAAAAAGATCGGTGGGTAGTCAGTGCATGCCCGACACCGTGACGCTGCAGACGTGGTGCAGTTCGAGTGGTTTTCGGCGGTCTTGGTTCTGTTACTAGTTCGACTTAAATTAAGGACTTTTAAATATAATACCAATTAAGAAATCCAACAAGAGCTTTGTGGCGAAGCGTTCGATTACATCATCGTCGTCTAGTGTAAGTGAAAAACCCACGGAGAGTGCAACCGTGAGAGAGGCGTTCGTGGTTCGCGGTTCGCGGGTCAATTCTGATTTCTATAAATAAAATTGCAAATTCGTTATCACGCCTCATAATCGAGACGCCGCCGCAGCATGATTAAGTGTTCCGTTCGCAGCACCACCCAAACACCCCCCAAATACTAAAGCCTCCAAGCCACCCACTCACCCATCCATCGGCCACTGGCAAATATCATGTGTGGTTCAGGTGATAAGCCGGCGACCGGCAATAACAAAATATAGCGGCAGTGGGTAGTCGGTTGTCGGTAGGCCTAGAAACATCTCATCGAACTATTTAAACTTTAAACGGTGTGAACAGCTAATGGCGCATCTATCTCTGGACCAGTGACTAACTAATTGACATGACAAATGCATCTGGGAGATGCAGCTGATAAGAATGTCTGTCAGCAGCAATTAAGGGCTTGTAAACACTGGGAATCAGTTTAAAAATAAAGACTTTCTTCATCAGGTTTCCCTTAAAACGTCGATTTTCAAACAACTGAAGATGTTTTCTAAAATCTTTAAAGTGAAACATGAAGCCTAAGTCACTTTTTATATGGGCTTTTTTAAATTTAAATAAGTTTACATATACGAGTACTTTGGTAAAACTGGCCAAAATATTATATGTTTTAACTGAAAGTTAAGTTCAAGAGGGGGTTGAAAAACCTCGTATAAATTATTCAAAAAATAGACTTTTTGATTACTAAAAACTGACATTTATCTTGCTCGTATTCAGTAGTACTTTAATACTATAATGCCTGTTCAAAATTGGCACCTCAACAGCACCTTGACTTCATTCCCCAAACATCCACTATGAACCAATAAAGCATAATTCAAATAACTTTTTTATTGCGTGAGTCGTTGGGTGTCCACTTTAATATCAATTCCGTACATTTCCACCAATTTAATTCAATTAAGCGGCTTTACGAGTGTCTTTCGGCTCAGTGCGTGTATCTACTTAAGTCGCAGACTAGAAGCGAAAGATACTTTTGCAGTTACGCAGTTTCAGTCAAAACAAAACGTAAATTCGCCAAGAAAATAATTGGAAGGAATCGCAAATAAAATGGCAAATATACGAAGAAAAAAAAACGGAAATGTTACTTTGGCCGTAAAATAGAAGTCAAAGACATATGTTGTCTTAGATTTATTTATAGATTTCCTTTTCATGTTATTTATTTTCTTTTCATTTTCTTTTTCCGTACATATATTTTATTTATAAAATGTGAGCTTGAGACGCTGCATTAGCAATTATTATTTATATAGCAGATGTCTTAGAATATATTTATATTCGAAATGAGAATTTTCTGAACAACTGAGAGTAAAAGTGACTCTAGAACGTATATATTTTGTTTTTAGTTTTAATGATTCCTGAAGTTTATCATAGGTTTTCAGGTGTTTAATTTGTTTTGAATGGTTCCTTAATTTGGCAAATAATAAAGCCAAACGTAATTAAACAATAATTCAAAGCACTTTTGATTTTTAAACGTATACATTTGGTTTTGTAATGCCATTCTAGACCCAACGTCATTAGCGCCCAAAACGCATTTAGCCACTTGGCCAGAAGCCAAAATAATATTCACTTTATCTATAGGCCAAAAAAATAAATAAAGGTTCGGATACTCAAGGGATGTCTATGAATCACGAAATATCTGCCATAAGTGCCATCACCTCATATATCTCTATATACTATATGGATATGCATTTAAATTTAAGGAAATCTTAAAGAGATCGGCATTTCGACCTCCTTAATCGATCGATTGTCAGACGATCGTTTGTTTATTTAAAACTTTGTCGACGCCATTTGGCGAGGGAAAAAGTTCAATTCAATCTTTATACTTCTTCTACTCATTTTACTGCTTAATTAAATTTCCTATGCATGCTGCCAAAGATAAAAAGTAAAATACTCGGACATAAAACAAAAGAGAGACGGAAAATCCAAGTAGTCAAAAAAGCAAATGCCACGGAAAGTTCAAGGCCAATTGACTTTGTCTCGTCTCGATTGGCGCATCTAATTTCGAAAATAAAAACTCTGATGTCTTAATTGGGCGGCACTTCCTCTCCTGGTTCGAACGCCCTCTCGCTCTCATTATCTAGATCGATTAATGGGCGTGGCTTGGCTTTGCACCTGATCAAAGGTAATGCACGTGCAGCCGTCGCAAAATGAAAACAATAACATTGCCATCTGCCAAGAGCAACACAGAGAGGTGTTAACAATTTGTTACGGTCACCCGGTTAATTGGGGGACCTCATTGACATGGTTCGTGGTTGGTGGATCGTGGGACCATCTATCACGGGATTTCATCACCTGACTGAATGCTCTCAAAAATATTACAAATTCTTAACATTTATTTTGGGAAAACGAATTACATAATCTTTCAATAGATTTATGATTTTATGAATTATTATTATCTTGTCTTAGCATTAAAAATGAAGAAATGAAACCAGACAAGAAGTTCTCTTTAAAAAGCTTTTATACACTAACGTTAAAATCCATTGAAACTTTTAGAAGAATATAAATATAGTTAAATTTTGTATTACTTTTAGTTTGTATACTATCTGCTAAAGCCAAATATTATTTAATAAGAGTATTTTAAATTTAATAAGAATATGAATAACCCTATAAAGTTAAAAGATATAAAAACAGCAGGATCGTAAATTTGCAGAATTATTCACCTTTTGGGGGGCCAGAACAAATTCTTTCAATAGTCTATTTAAATTTTAATGACAACCAACTAAATCAAATAAAAAAAACCCAAACAGCGAAAGAGAAATGAAAAATGAAAAATTCTCTGAGGATAATAAAAGCAGATATACTGCATATGAATTTTCCCAGCTGTTTTATAATGCCACCGAAAAACATGGGGAAAGCGGAAAGGGAAAGTGATGGAAAACAACATTTCGCGTGAATTTATTTGTTTACTTAAAAGTTGCTCATCCCGCTTCCATATATCACTCACGTCACATATCCCGATTCTACTATATTTGCAGATATTCCGCAGATCGGTTGCACCAGACACGATTGTGTGCCGACGTGACGTAAATGAACGATCCCGGCGATATACCTCTGACACACACGAGCACTCCGGACAGCAGGCCGCCCTGCAGCATTATCTCCATCATACCAACCATAGGGATGTCCTCATGTCGCGGAAGAGCCGAGGCATTCGCACGGAGTCTGTCCTCCAAGCTGCGCACCTTGGGATCACAGGTGATTATTAACATTATTGTTTATTATACAAAATTGAAGATACACGTATACCTGCACTTCTAACCCTAATTGAATATCTTTTCCCCACAGACAACCGAGGAGGGCGAGGGCAACGCCGAGGACGAGCCGATCATCAATGGAACCAGTACGAACACGTGGGTTAATTCCCACGACTCGGAACAGACGGTGACGGATCTGCAGCCACTTCGCCATGAGTCCGACTCCTTCTTCGACTTCGACTGCGAGCTGGAGTCGCCGGGTAGTCCTGTGGACGAGTGCGAGTACCTGCGCCTGATCGAAACCGCCTCGAATACGCCGCACAACTCTACGGCGGAGTCGGGCTATGCCTGCGCCTCAATGGCCAGCAGTCACAGCAGCAGCACCGATGGCCCCTACTTTGATGCTTCCGCTTCCACATCCACAGCTGCAGCTGCCCAGGACCAAAAGCTGCCAGCCTCGGAACTCAAGGAGTATGTGAATACCCTACAAATAAATGGAAGGCATGGACTGGTCAACGGAGTGCAGGAGGAACAGCCAGCTGGGCAGGACGTGGTCCAGGAGGACGAGACCTTCTTGCAGGCCCAGATCCTCAGTGAGCTTCAGAAGCATAGCATCAGTTTGAGGGAAGTAGAGCAGGCGAAGCCCGAAGAGGAGAAGCTCAGCAATGGGCATCTTGAGGAAGTGGAGGAACTAGAACTGAAGGAAGTCCTGGAGGTAGCTGGTACTACAAACAGAGTTCAAGAGTTGGTCGCCGCTCCACAAGAAGAGGTAATCTCTAATGACAAAGCCCCAGAGGAAACCCCTTATGATAAAGTTCAAAAAGAAAACTCCCAGGAGAGGGTTCAGGAAGAAATACCTTACGAGAGAGTTCAAGAGGAAACTCCAATCGACAGAGTCCAAGAGGAAACCTCCAATGACAGAGTCCAAGAGGAAACCTCGTACAAATCCCCCACAGAAACCCCCTATGAAAGATCACCCACAGAGGAAACCTCCTCCCCAGACAGGACCCTTCAGGAAACCAAAGACGTGGAGCTCTCACCGGACAGTGGTGTGGATGAAACAGACAAATCAGCCAGTAATCTCACCGTAAATGTGGATCTGGCCCAAATCGAACAGGCCAAACAGGATGCCACTGAGGCTGTGGAAAAGAGTGGAGGTCACCACAGTCACGGCATTGATACTACAGATGACGAAGATGATTGCAGACCCCAGCGTATCAGGCGCTGCTCCTCCCTTAAGACGGGAAAGACACCACCCGGAACTCCAGGACGCAAGAAGATCGTGAGGTTTGCCGATGTTCTTGGCCTCGATTTGGCCGATGTTAAGACCTTCCTAGACGAGATACCTAACATACCCAAATCGGCGTTCGAGGATCTAGAGATATTGGAGTCGGAACCACCTCTACAGCTGGGTCCCAAATCCGATAAGCTACTGATGCCGCTGTTCCAGCAGCCAGGTGGACTGCCCAAGTTCCTCGATGCGGTCAGGGAGAAGCAGGTGTCGCTGGAAAACGCTGCCGTGTCGGATAATATCAACCAGACGATATCTGGATCGGTGCGCGTGCGCAACCTCGATTTCCACAAGTCGGTGCATATAAGGTACTCGCTGGACGGGTGGAGGAGCTATGCCGACTTGCAGGCCAACTACGTGGAGAACTCCTGCGATGGCTTCTCTGACATCTTTACCTTTGTGCTGTTCGGAAACTCGCTGCACGTGGGCCAGAGACTAGAATTCGCCGTGAGATTCCAGTGCAAGGGCCAGCAGTTCTGGGACAACAATTACGGGGCCAACTACTGCTTCCAGTGTCTGCCCAGCTCGACACATACCACCGGCAGCTCGACGGCATCGCCTCCGACCGTGGCGACTGGCGCCGTAACCTCCGGCCACGGTGCCAATCTGGTCGGAATGCTAAGCCCCACGGCGGGCGATGCCTGGTGCAGCTCCTTCTACTAACCGGTGGCGATGGGCCCGCACTAAAGGCACTGGCACTCCGTATAGAAACCATCCCGCATCCATCCACCCTCTACCCATTGGCATGACACCAAGGTCAGGGACTTATCCCGGACCTTGACGTTGTGTCTACGTCCCCGAAAGAATTCGAGTCCCTCAAGTCCCAGTTGACCGGCCAGTCAGAGATCACAGATCAGAATATCTACCTTTAATAGGCTACCTCTTCATTAGGGTGTTTCGATTATGCACTAGAGATTCTGGAAGGGTATAAGTAATTCTTTGGCAGTTCTTAAACAACTTTTGTTTATTAAATGGCAGACTTAAAAGCTGTCTTCATATCTGAACATTTTTCTGAAATTTTATAGCCTAAATCACTTCATGAAAATCTCAGACTAGCAAAAAAGATGGCAAAAGGAAACTTAACCGTAGTTACCTTATAAACTGACAACAATTACTTATCCCATTCCAGGATATTGTAGTTTATGTACACCGAGAAATCGAACCACCCTAACCTTCAGCGCGAAGGCAAACATTGTTTATATTTTTATAGAACGGAAAAGATTGAAGGGATTAGAGAAGGAGGAAGAGGAGCTGTAAGAGCTAAATGAGCGCCACAAAAATAAAGTAAAAACAAAGCAGAGTAGTGCGAGCAAGAACAAAAGCCAGCAAAGTTCGAATGAATCCCAAAGATAGTTGTTAGTCGTATGTTATAAGAAGAGCAAGTGATAACAAACTAAAAATCAGATCAGTTTCTTCAATGTCTTCTTCTGTTTTCAGTTTCTTCCCAATTTTCATTTGGTTTGTTCCGAGGTTTGTTTGTCGAGGGAAAGCCCTTCCAGGTCGCAGTCAGGTGGATCGGGTTATAAAGACTGGATTTCTGCCAGTTGATGTACTCTTAAAGATATCATTTTTGTGATAAGATTAATTGCCATTAATCTTAGTTCAGCAGCAGTTCTGAGAAGTATACGAGCTTAGCACCATCCATTTATAAACTCTTCGCTTAGTAAGAGCAACTATACGATAGCTCTCATTCGACAGTTGCCAGATCATTTTATAGCCTTGTTTGTGGATCCATTCGAGCACAGAGACCATGCCAAAAGTCAACTATAACTAACCAACATCCATTATCTAGTCAATTCGGGTTTACTTTTGCTACCTTTTGACTGTCTACAGTCCCAAAGGGAATACTCCAATCCTATGATCTTTGTACCCCGATCGGAAATACTTTTTCAACCATCTGACACGACAGACAAACCTTAACTTTTGTTTCTCTTGAATGTTGATATTCTTCTAATGATTGATTTTTTAAATATTCTTTACTTTTAATTTAAACGATTTCAATATTTTTTATGTATATGTTGATGCGTAATATATATCGTAATATTATATAAATATCTATATACAAAATAAAATAAACATAAAATTTAGTTATTCCTCTTTCGTTGATTCTTTTACTTTACTTATCCTTATGTTTTCCAAATAATAAAAACCATCAGAAAGCACTCTTCTTAGCCACAACTGAACCTTAATTAGCCTATATCAGGGACACCCATGCGAATAACTACTTATAAAAATTAATTGAAAACGCAGCTACCTCAGGTTTTCCGACCGAAAACTCGAAAAAGAGAGAATAATAGTTAAACAAAGTGTATGATTAAAATAAAATACCTATTAAATATGTTTATTGCATAGCAAACATGTATGAAACAAAAATAAGCAAAACAACAAATAAAAACGAACTTTAAAAGTTACAACTATTTACATATGTTAACATAGCAGAATCCTCAGTAGCATTACAAAAGTCCCCCCAAACCAAATGACTTAGACTGAAGCGTGAGTATTCCGCGAGAAATGCGGAAAAATGTTATGAGATCTGCCCAAAAACCAGAAACTTGTTAAGGTTTGTGTGGGCGGGACTTTTGTCAGCATGAGTTCCACTTCACACTAACAAAAGAATAATAAAGAACCCACAATAAAATACTAATGCCAACGGAAAATTGTTGCATGTCTTGAAAGTGTTTTCTTTTGTGTCATCGAAATAAACTGAGGAACAGGTGGCAGTTCAGGGGGCGAAACAAATGCAGAGCACATATTAATTTATGCAAAATGGTAAAAGTCTTCACAGGTAGGTGACATTTCAGTATTTAACTTTTTAAAATAGTCACAGGAAACAAAGTTTCAGCTTTGTCTTCGATTTGATTATTCTATTTATAAGGACATTCTAGCTCATTAATTGATTTCTATGAAAATAAACTTTATAAAACGTTTGCTTTTATTATAACCCCATGGAATTTTCCATCAGATACATAGCATTATCTTACGGATAAAACATAAAGAACAGTATCTGGAATGGCCACCTGCTATGAATCCATACAAAAGAATAGAGTAAATTTAAATTTTTCGGATGTTTGATTTGCAAATACGATATTGATGTTAAGTTTATAGAGCTCTAAATGGGCAGTGACGATTACTCACTTGAAATGCATGCCAAGTTTAAGGTTCGGCCAACTGATGGCCAATTGCTTTTCATAGAAAACATGTCTGTTGCTAGCAAATTTAAAACTGATTTTTGTAACATTCGTAACAGAAAATGTTTGAACCGTGATCCGATAATCTTTACCGATGGCTTAACGATTTATTCTCGAAATCTGACTCATATTTGTCGTAGCAGAATGTTCAGACTGTTCCTAATATATGAGTACAAAATAATGACCAATCTATATTACTTGCATTGAAGTGACAAACAACTGTTTTAAATTTCACAACCATTATGAGCCATATGACAAAGCCGCCTGATCTGAACCTGATTTATTCTAACTTCAAGAGAAAACCCTCTGGTGGCAAAGTTTATGTAGGTAATTGACTCGACTGTTGATGCTAATCTAGATTATTCATATATAATTTATAACATTGAAGAAGTTTAATTTATTACTGTACAAACTCATAAAATACTTCTTGTAAAGATCATCATCAGCAAAGAAAATTAAAATTCACCAAACTTTTCAATCGAAACCTCTTTACAAACCGTATATTATTGGATAAATGTTAAATAATTTAAAATCTCACATTACATTAGGCAGAAAAGCTAACTTAAGCTATTAGCAAACATCATCATCTATGACCGGGTGGTCGTCGCCCTCCTCCTCCGCTTCATCATCCAAGGCCGCCTGAGAGGCACTAACCTCTGCGAAGTCATCCTCCATGTTATCCACAAAGCTGGAGACCCTATCAACACAAAACAAACAGACATTAAAAACAAATACCAAAGATATGCGTTGTCTGCCATCACTTTTCAAAGTCGCACTGCGGCAGGAGGCCCTCCTCCTTCGAGGGACTGAGCCTCAGCAACGTACAGAGTCTGAGGACCCCGAGAAGTATCAGGAACATCCCGGCAACATAGCTGAGCCACAGATTATGGGGATATAGTATCAGGCAGATGCCGATGACCGCATAAACGGGAGTGGGCCGCCATCCACCACAAATCGCCGAAAGACGCCAGCAGGCCAAGCAGTTGCAGGACCTCCGCTGGTAATTATCCCTGAAACAAATTTAAATCATAAATATGAGTATGGTCACATTTTAGGCAAATAATTTCACTGAGAAAAATTAACTAGCTAGTTTGTCATTCATATTCTGGTCGTATAAGTTCTTATAAGAAACGCGGTAATGAAAATATTTCCAGATATAAAGCTTTTATTTTGCCGAATAAGGGTAAACAAATTTGATCTTTCATAAAACATTTTGCATATTAAATGAGATATTTAATAGAATATTTAATAGTCCAAGCAATCTAAAATAATACCCACTCTGAGCACTGAAGTTGGAGGAATATAGTAACCAGCCACTTGATTTCAATGAACATGACCAGCACGGCTGAAAAACTAACCAGAAATTAATGTATTTCTTGGGGATATTGGATATCTGGCTTACACTATATAGAGACCGGCCTGATAGCCGTGCATGTAGACATCAACGCCAACGCCGCAGATAACTGAAATGAAAAATGGCTTAAGAAAGTTTGGGTCCAGAGGGTCCTTGCTGGCGGGCTGGGACAGGGAGTGTTATCCTTGAATGAGCCTATAAAATAATGTGATTTTGTCTACGCAAATATATTTATAAGCATATTTATTGAGCTGGGGCTTTTTTGTTTACCACGCTTGGGCCATAAAGTGTAATACAAAACCAATGAAAGGAAACGTGGTGGGTTTAAGAAGTTTGTAGGAAACTTTTGCTGGGAGATAACTATTTTGAGAACATAATTTTTAGTATGGTTCAGCCTATTCAGCCTTTTTAGCACTTACCCCAATAAATCATATTAATAATAAAAAATTCACTTAAAAACAAATATCTTCATGTAACAATTTAATAAGAAATTAATTAAGAAATTAAATTTGCTTAATACACAGTAGTATATAGTTCATTAAACCCCCTGACATTGTTATCGTAGTATAAATCATAAAGCTGAATCTATTTTATCATAATATGGATATATGGATATCAACTTTACTATTGGCTTAAACATATTTTTGAACAATCTTCGTTGCTTACTTAGCATTCTTTAGAAAAACAAGATTTTAATTAGTAATTACAGGAAATTAACAATCATATTTATAGATAAAAGTAAAGTTCTTAAATAGACAACTTCTTCTACCACCCTCGCACTTTTTTTTGTCAAACAGCCCTCAAAAATATTCATATTCTTGCCACATTATGGGTTCGGTCCCCTGTTTTGTCTCTCGAGGAAATCCACTGCCAATGTGTAAGATATGGCCCACAGAAGCCGCCACGCCCATTAACCCCATAAAAACCCAATCTAATTAAGTTGTTTTTATTATGCCGAGCCGCGAAAAACCAATCGGATTAAGCCAGTTAGATATATGCCCCATATTTAAATGAAACTGCAGAACCAAAACCAAACCAATTACATTAAATGCTGTCAAAGGAAAAAATCGAAAAAGCGGAAATCGAAAAAACATGCAAAATTATCTGGATAATTGAAAGCGATGGGGGGAAAATAGATACCGGGGAAGAAGGAAAACTTGGCGAATGGCTGGCGCCAAAAGGCTAACAACAATGCTCATTGTCGACCGTATGGAAAAGTTGCTGATAAGGGGGAAAGCAGAGTCAGGGGAAATTGTGCTCTTGGCACAGGATGCGAGTTTTGAGCTGCAAGCTGCATAGAGGCCAATGCCTTGTTAATGGCTCTGACAGAGAATTTCCTTGGGCAATCCCCTTCTCCATCCCCCTAGATATTATGCGGGGTTTATGAACTACATCAAGATTTTCTACTTTGTTTTTCTGCGTGCCACTGCATCCATAATAAACCCCAAAACAATTTGCAAAGAAATTAGTTTGAACTTGACCCAAAGTTTTTGTTATGCTGCATCCCGGCAATTTATCAAACTCTGGAAAAACCAGGGGGAGCACTATTTTAAGCGCATTCGAGAAAAGTCAGATGGTGCCGGAAAATCGTTATGATTGACCGTGATAAGCGTTTAAGCCAAGTTTGATAACTGCACCAGATGGCCGGAAAAATTCGATAAAAAATTTGATTGTATTTCAGTTTCAGTTTGGGATGCAGATAAATGATGAAAAAATATAGAGTGAAAAAATTTAGACTATAAAGGAAAATATTTAAATTAAATTATTACTTTTTATAAATGTTGTTGAGTAAATTCAATTTTTCTTCATAAATTGACAGACAAAATGCCACAAATATGCTGCTTGTTAGCGTGAATTTATTGCCGAAATTTGGCCAGAAAAAGCAGAACACAAAGCTGGCCTTAACAAATCATTTTTAATTTAATTGCTTGAAATTGATAAATAAAAATATGTAAATATTTGTTTTTAGGTAATAATATTTGCACTGAACTGAAATGTGATTTGCAAATCAAGTTTTTACCTTTGCTAAGAAGCAATTAAACATAAATATACTTTATAAAAATTCAAAATATTTTGCTATTGAAATGACAATAATTGATATAAAAAATGTCTCTCTTTTATTAGAATTTATTTCCCTGCGTCTACCCAATCAAGTCTACAACTTTTGTGTACAAGAAAAAACGTCTCGAGGAATAATTTGCATAGAAAGAAACAACAAAGGGAGCCAATAAGAGCATGTCCCTATTCAGCATCTTAGCCTTAGAATTCCCATTCAGTGCCAAGAAATAAAATAAGCCACAGCACTCAACATATCCCGAGGCTACGGTTTCAATGCACAAGCATTTCCTACGATTTGTCAAGGGTAAACATTCCGAAAAGGGCCAGCAAAAGAAAAGCTGAGCACTCGCAGACACACCCGTACATATATGCATGCACATGCATCATAACCCCATATCGTGATTGGCATTATCTCGAGACGGGGGTCACCTGGCCACCGAGGAATTACATTCCACTGGCGTGGATTTCCGGCCACTTGAGCTTACCGAATGAAGTCAGCAGACCAAAAACTCTTATCACAGGACGTAAACACTCGCAAGGCTCTGCGGACTGATGGCGGTGATGGTGACGTCCGCGGCGAACGCGTTGCGACTGCAGTTGCATTTGACTCATATCTAACTTGTATAAATATTTTCCTCTTTTCTTTATGAATTATATGTTTAACAATTTATTACAGTTATAAATATTATATTTGTGCACTTTAGCCTTGCGTTGTTTTTCAGCTCAAAAGTTCGTTATTAGATCAGTCAATAATTTATGTCTTATTTTGTGTTATATTTGAGTTATTTATTTTTTGCACTTGTATAAAACATTTCCTATATTTTTATTTATTATTTAATTAATATTTATACTCATTTAATTTGATTTTTAAAAGTTGAGGCTGGTACTGCTCCTAGTGATTTTGTTTTTAATTTGATTTTCCTTATGTATTACATATTTATAGCTTAACTATATATTTTAAAAGTCCTCAAATTCTTTAGAATATCTGAAAATCCAAACTACCAGCTCAATGCTGTCCAAAGGATTCGCTAATAAAACAATCAAAGAGCCGTATCCACATCACAAAAATCCACTACGTGCTTGGCATACTAAGTGGCCAAATAACTTTACGACAAACATTTTCAATTCCAGCTCGAACAGCTCGTTTTGCTTTTAAATTTCAGCATTTAACTCCGGCATACGCTGCGTATGCGTAATGTGACACTTTTCGCACCTCTCCTTCCACGGCATTTAATCACCGGACTGTTTGTGGGTGTGTGTGTGTACGTTTGTGTAACAACTAATGTCTGCAAATTACCGTTACCATTTGCACTTTACCCCCGCACGTTGTGTGCCCTCTTATAAATTTTTTTTTGGTTTCAATTTTGCCTTTTATTTTTGTTGAATTTTTTGTGTATTTTTTGTAAAGTGCCACTTTGCCACTTGACTTTATAACCGCGCTCTAAACAACGAACGTCCGCACGCTTCCAGCAGCGCCAGCTGAATGAAACTGAATGAAAGGACCAGCAAGGAGTCGTTTCTATTTTCGGAGTCAGGATCCAGAGTCGCCGCTGAGGCTGCTTTTCCTACTGCCACTGACTTTGTAGCCAAACGCCAGCCAATGGGGCGGCGCTGCATTCGAAACTGCTAAGTTGATTTGTTGCTAAAGGGCCACAGTCGTGTTTATTTCTTTTTAAATGATTTCCACAAAAAATACGTTTCATGCTGAAATTTATGGTAACCGCAATTAGTTCTTTGTTGCTTTTAACGATATTCGTAATTGATAAGTTGTTTTTGGCAATTAATATTGTGATTATGTACACAACCTAAACTTTCTAAAAGACGGCCAATTTATTGAGAATTGGTTTTGAATATTAATAAAATATAATCAACATTAAAATTATTTTTAGATAACCTTGAAAACATCTTTTTATAAATGCTTCAAATTTTTGGACCAATCATTGCTAGGAAACAATAATAAGTGTAGATATAGCTTGTATAAACTTCTTAAAGGCTTTCTCAAATCAATAAAACTGTTAATAAAAAATAATAGAAGAAACCTCTTTTGCAAATATTAGTTTCAATTTAAGTGCCTAAATTAATAACTAATTATCAAAGACCGTTTATCTATATTAAGTCTGATTTATTTTCGAATTCAAAATGGTATTTCAAAACATTTTCGGAGTGTAGCGCATTGGGCCAGTCTTTATAGTCCTGCGGGTGTTCTTACCAATGCTAGCTTGATTTTATTTGTCACGTTGTCCTGTGTGTGATGCCCCTCATGTTGTTGCTACTACTGGTGTGCTGGTGTGGTGCTGTGTGTGCGTGCTCTCGTCCTGCTGATGCTGCCACACCCCTCATACCTCACCCGCCCTTGGCCACGTTTCAGTAATTTTCATAACTGGCTGAATGAGGGACGAGGAGGTGGAGGTAGAGGTGGCAGGAGGCGGAAAGCAGCTCAAAAGACGACCAAGAGCAAAGCTGAGCAATTGCCAAGTGCCGGGCGAGTACGCAGGATGTGGACAAAAACATTTTCGGCTGCCACACCGCCTCCAACCTCATATATTAAACGGGGGGGGCAAAACTCAGGGGGAGCACGAGTAAATATTTTTTTAGCTCCTCCGCTTATTGTGCTGTGCATTTGCTGAGGTGCCTATCGTCAGACTTGTTTGCATTATGCGGCGTTAATGACATCCAAAGTGGGGAGCTGCCCCCCGAGGAAACTCTCCACTGTCGCCACCATCTACGACATAATTCACAGCTGCCTCACACTCGGAAAATTTAATTTCCTTAAACTTCCCTCAACTGTTCAGTGAAATTTTCATAAAGGTCGTCCTTGACATGGTGTCCTGCAGCTCTGGAAGTTTTGTCTACTTCTATGATGTTGATTTCTTGAAACTTTGATGTTTGACATAGATCTCAAATTGTGTATACATTTTTATACATTTTTATTATTTATTTTAAGATTAAAGTCAACATAACTATTATTTTTTGTGAGTGCATTTCATGCTAATGATGCTTCCCGCGTAGCTCACTTGGGAAACTCCTTGCGCCGCTTCATTATCTTGGTAATCCCGGCCACCATGGCCACCTCGGGCAGCGCCAGCTTGGCATCCTCTTGGAAGTCGCAGCGTCTGGTTAAATGCAGCCAGGTTCTTTCCGGATTCAAGGACAACGGCATCTGCAGCCAACTGACATAGTCGATTTTCAAAGAGCCAGTAAGCAGCTGGTCGAAGGGGGTGTTTCCAATGAAGAACATGGACCTTAGCACCGAGGTCTTGGCCTCCTTGATGTTCTGACCCTGAATGCCTTGAAAAGGACTCGGATCATTATCACCCGTACCCAACTGCTCGAGTAACCAGTCCTTGTTGAACTTTAAGTAGTTATACACCACCTTCAAGGCTTGTTTTCCTATATTGGTGGTCAAGACATCGCTGACCAGGACTTCGGCTATATAATCTGCTATCCCCACATCCAGCTCCATGGCATAATTATTTGGTGGACTGTGGCTCAAGCGATCTGATTCTGCATTCGTCAAGGCTAAGTCATCCATTTTAATCGTACTCACTGCACTCATTCCTCCGGCCCCTCGGTTGTTACTCCCTGCAGTCTGACCAAAGTCCGTATCCAAATTGATACTTTCTTTGGCCTGCTTAAGGAACAACTCGATCTGGTCCGTGTGCTTGTCGTCCTCGTCGATTGAGCAGATTGCCTCCGAAATGGAGTAACATATGGCGGCCTTGTCCTCGTTTTTAGCTATAAGTAAATATTAATAAATTATCAAAACATATATTAAAACATATTTAATTAATTAAATAATAAAATATGTAAAAAACTTAATTCAAGCATAACATCTACTTACCCTGCTCATACATCTCGGCTGTTTTTATTAGTTCTGTATAGAGTGCTGCAAAAACCACCTGCAAGAGCACTGAATCCCCCAAAGGCCTAGTGGAAACTGGTATGATGTCCTGTAGCAAGGAGGCTATTTTGTACAGCCCCTCGGGAAGGCAGTCCCAAATCTCAGAGACGCAGGTTAGAGCTAAAGACATCGCCTGGTACATACTGGCTCCGTTTTCCACGGCATTGACTAACATATCCACCACGCAATCCAGAACAGGGTAAACAAAGTGCATGATGGCTTCCAACCAGGGGGTTCGCTTCTGGTTCCACACCTGTCGCTTGTCGAGGCAATCACTCCAACCCGCGATGGCATGCTCCTCCAGGGTTTTAATCAAGCAGGATTTAATATCTACCGCCTTGCCAACAGCTACCACTAAGTAGGTGAGTGAGAGGACAATCTGGTAGTTGGATTGACCTACAGGATCTGTTTCAAAGAGATTTAGGAATATTAAGAAAATATTTTTAATAAGACTAATCTTACCTATATCCCCTGCTATAGAATCTGTTACATTGAAGCACTCTCCCCGGCACAAAAAAGCCTCACACTTTTGAGGAGCGCCTTGAGCGCTAGTGAAAGATATTTTGGCCACGTTTTTAAAGTTTTCCGAAGATGGTAAATACTGCATCAGGTGGCGCATTATAATTCCAGTGAGATAGGCATCTCTCATCAATAGAATCTTCAACAAATACGACCAATCAGCCTCCGGAAAGGCAAGTAAGACCCTCAAATCCAGGGAAATCGCAGTGTTGGTGGAAAGATCCGAGAACTCAGTGACCCATTGACAGGACTGCTCCTTGGGAAAATATCTGGGAAGAGCGAAAATAATCCAAGCACTGGGCAAGCCATGGCGAGAGCTAAACATTTCCATGTTATCCAATCCTTTACGGAAGACCTATATATACATACAATGTAATGTGGATATAACATTAAGAAGAAAAATGACTTTCAAAAGCCCTACTGCTTACCTTAGAAAGCACGCCTAATGGAGAACCCCTTAAGAGGAGGCAGTAGAAGAGCTCCCTGCATTTAGCATGAATATCCCTAATGATGACACTCTGGTTACTCAGCTGCAACCCCACATACGCCTCACCACTCTCACAAATATGGGGCAGTAGCTCAGCGATGCAGAGCAACATGTTGCAGATATCCACCAGATGGAGCGTGGATCTAGCCACACTGGTCACAATCTGGGTATACCGCACAGTCAGAACACTCAACGTTTCGTTTAGCATTCCAGCGAATATCTTTTGAGCCATTTTCGGAGGCACCGAATTCCACAGATCGGTTTTGGAGCCCCTCATGTAGTGCCACCACATCTGAACGGTGTAGGAGCCCCTTTCCGACTCGAAAAAGGGTTGAGTATCCTCCCAATGCAGACAATCGGCATCTTGCATAATATAAAGTAAAAGCAAACGGCAGTGGAGATCCAGGAGTCTTTCGGCCAAGGCCTCTGACATCTGGGAATATTGCTTGAAACTGAGCTTAAGAGCTCCTCCCTTTTCATCGCCCTTGGGGGGACATATGGTAGTGGTGGCTGCTTGCATGTAAACACTCAAGGAGTTCTTGACCAGCGAGGCAGCTCCAATAGTGGCAGTGAGGACAGACAAATCGGCGTGATCCAGGGACTCCTGCGAAAGACGATGAATGTGCTCCAGAAGTAAGTCAGCAGACTTGGTCACCAGCTGCACAAACTTATCTGGATCAGAGGTCTTTACGGTGACACTTGTCTGCAGTGACCAAAGCATTTCTATTAACAATGTTTAAATGTTTAGGTTAATAGAACTTACGAAATCTCCCTCATTCATTTCCTTTTCCGTGTGCAAAAGTCCAGATGGCTTTCGGTAGGAGGCAAAGTACTCATCTTCCCACCTAAAGCAAATAAAAGCATTCTCGTCGGTAACTAATTTTGTATATTTGAAATTTAAGCCGTATATATTTCAAAAATAATTTAGGTAAAAGTAAGAAACTCATTTCTACTAAATTAAAAATTAGTTTTAGCATTGTATTATTCAAGTTTTTATTAATTGAAACACATAATTATATATGTTTAAATTTTTATGTTTTCTGCTTTTCTTTACTCTAAAAGTAACTCTTGTAAAACTCTTGATTACTCTATATTTAAGTTGCTGCATTTATCTGCATTTGTTCTTAGAGGTTATCCGAGTTTTTTTTTAACCCAGAAGCAGTGGGTCCCTGGACGTCCATCTTGCATTATTCTGGACGGATTGTTTGGTTCACAGGTGGCGGAAGACCATTTTGTGGCTGCGTTCATCAAAAAAAGGACTTTAACCCGCAGTCCCAAGCCAATAACAACGGCCTAGTTAAACTGATCACAACTGTAGTGTACAAAGAATATATAATGCCCATCTGCATTCTCCAAGATCGTAGGATGCAGACCTTCGCCGACGAATTGGATTATTTAAATGGAACTGCATGTAAGCTTTGGGTTGCGGAGCCAAGCTTAAGAAGAGTTGATCGAATGCCTAAAGCATGTGGAGTTCTAGACAAGAGTCAGTTCTGTGCCGGTAACAATTTTCGAGAATCCTGCCACGAGTCCGTCGGCTTTACTACATTTTACGAAACCGAACCGTTTAGTTTGGAATCTTAAACTTCGACCAGGTAAATTGCTCTACCTCGCATGTTTACACCGACGTGGTGAGATTAGGCCAATTGATCGGCATGGTTAATGCTCTGAATTCCAATGATAGTATTCAGCAGTCGTCTTTGACTTCTGAACTACTTAAGCTTCGTTTCAGGTTGCAACCGAATTAAAATATAATATAAATATATGCTATTTCAGGTACCAAAAGAACAATTTTCTTTTTATCAAGCAGTATAAATAAATGTGGATTATAAGCCTTGGACAAATAAAATCTTCCCAAATATGAATAAATATGAATTTTTTAAAACTAAATTAGTAGTTAATACTAGAAACGAAAAAAAACCTACCATCTTATTAATTTAATGGCTGCGAACGAAGCGTAACGAGGAAAATCTAGTTTTCCACCGACAACTCCAGAGCAGATTGGTTCCTGAAGCACCCGTTGATGAGTCTGTTGATTGGAGATACGTTATGTAATGAACTACTAAGGCATCCTTACAGTTTCTACCTGGTAAAACTCAAGATCGCGCTGCAATAAAATCGGCACTCTATCCATCAAATTCCCCTCTTCAAGCACCTCCATACTATAGGTATTTTTATAAAATTTATAAAGTTGTACAAATAACAAACAAACTGCCTAATGTGAGCTAACAATCAAACAGTTTAGTTAGTTGCCAGGGGAACAGAAAGATTAATAAATCGAAAACAAATAGCGATAACTTTATCAGGCTAAAAACGAGCTTAAACTAATATTTAATGTGATATTTGAAATTTTAAGTGTATAAAGCTAAGAAAATAGTTGAAAATCTTTTTCAAGCCAAATCAAAGTTAATTCTATGTAAACAAATTAATTCAAACTTATTCTCTTTGAAGAAAAATAACGCGTTTTATTCGAAATATAAAACAATTACTTTATTTTGAACTAAACACCTGAAAGTATGCTTTTTTTTTTGCTCACTGCACTCAACCTCTCAATTTTTTTTAATATTATTGATAAGACGCCAACGGAGCTCCCCACACTCTCTCTTTGCATTTAAGTCAGTTTACGCCTGCGATAAGCTGGCCACAAAAGCCGACTCGTCCCGCTGGTTCAGCATTCAGATCTGCCCTCAGTTGATAATTGACTTGCGACTCGGTCAGTCAGTCGTTCTTTTAATCCAGACACCTACAAAGTGAGTACCCAGGCCGCCTTAATTAAGATGCTATCAGTGGATCCGCTCTGCTGGGGATCTAAGAAAAATTTCCAGCCAGCAACCAGAAAACTGTCGGAGCTGTTATCGCTCGATAAGAGTGGTATCAGGTCGTAATCAGTAATCCATAAATCTCCTCTCGTTCTCCTCCTCCAGAAATACAATTTTGTATTTAGAAATATAACTAAACTTGCACTCACAAAAATATAAATGGTTTCTAAATGTATTATTTAGTATTGTCATTATATAAAAAATTGAAATTCAAAGAGGATTCACTTAAAACAATAACATTTGAACAAATTTAAGGATAATTTATTGATTTTATGCTAACTAAGTTTATCTTTACAAATCGTTAGAAATGTAAAAACGAAAGTCTGGACGACTGATAACGGCTCTGATAACAAATATTTTTGTAATAAACCATTTATACCTTCTCTTTAATCCAGAATGTGGACACATTTGAGAAATCTTTCGAAGCTGGTATTGCCACGCCGATTAGTCACCCAATCCGCTAGCTACTCTTCGTCCTCATCATTTTTGATCGACCAACCGGAATACAGCTTCCTTAAGGAATTGGGCCTAGAGCGCGACAATCCAGGTGTTTATTCTGGTCAATGGCAAGGTCGGGGTCCATCCGTCACCAGCTACGATCCCGGAACTGGTCAACCAATTGCCACAGTGCGTCAGGGAAATGTCCAGGAACTAGAACAGACCATCGGACTGGCAGTGGAAGCCTACAAACAGTGGCGACAGGTTCCAGCTCCCGTTCGAGGGGAAATAGTGCGCCAAATCGGAGATGAACTGAGAAAGTACAAGGAACCTCTGGGAAAGCTCGTCTCGCTGGAGGTGGGTAAAATCTACAGCGAAGGCCAGGGAGAGGTTCAAGAGTTCATAGATATCTGCGACTATGCGGTTGGTCTATCCAGGATTTACTCGGGTCAGTTGATCAACTCCGAACGTGCCGATCACTCGATTCTGGAAGCCTGGCGTCCCCTGGGAGTGGTGGGCGTTATTTCGGCTTACAATTTTCCCAATGCTGTGTTCGGCTGGAACGCAGCGATTGCTCTGACCACTGGTAATAGTGTACTGTGGAAAGGTGCTCCCAGTACGCCCTTGGTCTCAGTGGCCACTACCAAAATTGTGGCTGACGTGCTGCGCAGGAATAACCTTCCGCCTGTGGTGACCCTCTGTCAAGGAGGAACTGATGTGGGTCAGACTTTGGTTGCTGATAAAAGAGTAAACCTCGTTTCCTTCACCGGCAGCTGCCAAACTGGACGAGATGTGGGCGTAGAAGTCCAGCGAAGATTCGGCAAAGTCATCCTTGAATTGGGCGGTAATAATGCCTTGATCATTGACGAATCTGCAAACATTAAAATGGCACTTGACGCTGCACTCTTCGGCTGCATTGGCACCAGTGGTCAAAGATGTACTACCACCAGGAGGATTATTGTGCATGAAAAGCTGCATGATCAATTTGTAAAGGCACTGGTTGGCAAATACAAGCAGCTAATTCCCAAGATTGGACACCAGCTTGACGCTCAAACGCTGGTGGGTCCCGTGCACACGCAACAAAACGTGGAAAATTACAAAGTGGCTATTGAGGAGGCCAAGTCCTTGGGAGGAACAGTGGCATTCGGAGGCAATGTTATCCAGCGTGAAGGTTTTTACGTAGAACCCACTGTAATTACAGGTTTGCCCCACGATGCCAGTGTCGTCCATCGTGAAACCTTTGCCCCTATTGTTTACATTCTCAAGGCCAAAACCGTCGACCAAGCAATCGAATGGAATAACGAGGTGGAGCAGGGCTTATCCTCCGCCATTTTCACAGAGAACATCGGAGAGGCCTTCAAGTGGATTGGAGCCAAGGGTTCAGACTGTGGCATCGTGAACATCAACACAACCACCAACGGCGCTGAGATCGGAGGTGCTTTCGGAGGAGAAAAGGCCACAGGTGGAGGTCGTGAATCCGGATCCGATGCCTGGAAGCAGTATTGTAAACGGGCCACCATTACTGTCAACCACTCCGGGGAATTGGCGTGCGCCCAGGGTGTTGTCTTTAATGTAGAGTAAAAAACAGATCAATTTTAATGTCTTCCTATTTGCTAAAATTTAAAATACACATATAATGTTCCAAACTAAAAGCATCTGAGTTATTTCTTCCTATTCCTTGCTGATGTCAAAACGCCAGAAGTCGACCTCGATATCCTTGGACTTGTGTTTGTGAAATTTGTAGCTGGCGTCAATGTTGTATCGGAGTTCGGCAATCACTGTAGCGCGGGCGCCCCACTCCTGGGCCTTCTTCTGAATGTAGGCCCTGGGGAAAAAAATTTTAATTAAGGAATTCAAAAAACAGGATAGTATACTTTATTATTATTATAGTTATTCTATTCATTATCCTTTTCTATCTTTTTGATTATGCCTTCATCTTTAAAATAATATAGATGAGAAAGTCCTTTCTAACATCCTTTTCGTTTCAAAAGTGAGGTACAGCGAAATTTTCTAATACTAACACAAAGCAACAATAACTGAGCTAAAAATAAATAAATAAACTCTATTGCCAACAATTATTAAGGATTGCAAGAAATTGAAATAAAATTTTTATTTGTGAAATTTCTTGACAGAAGTTTTCTTAGATTTTTATAACTACAACCAAAATTATTTGTCATTTTACTATAAATTATAATATATTTAAGAATGAAGATGCACCACGTCGTTTACATTAGGCTTTAGGTGTAAAGCAGCTGCAGACAGTTGGGGCCGCTGCGGCAACAACCATTCCCGCAGACTGGAACAACACCGGAACTGGAGACGCGACGACAGAGGAGTGGTGGGCCGCGGTAATCGCGTCGGTAACAGAGGCGCTCACACACAGTACCGCCCACTTGGACCCGAATGACGGTTTGACGACAGTGGCCGCCACCCAAGATCTGCGCTTGGGCAGGCAAATACGTCAACAGACCCACTAGCAAAGCAGCCAGGATCAGCGCGCAACGAGAGAGTGCCATCTTACTTATTGATTCTACTTGATATAATAATCTTTGCTGTCGTAGGTGCTACTGAGTTTTATAGCTGTCTGTTCATCAACCAATCAAAAAACAAAAGCACAAACAGCGGTAAGGAAGAACAGAAACCAAAAATCGTAGCCAATTGTTTCTGTTGTTTAACAGAAACAAAAGATCATGCACCTGTTTATGCATGTTACCCGTAGAGCAAAGAAGGTCTTCAATAATAATAGTATTTTTTCGAACTGAAACCTATCTTAAGAAAATATTCCCTAGAAGCTATAGTTATTGTTAAAAAACAATCTTCCTATTTATTCAATATAAGCACCTATTGAGTTTAAACGACTCATTTGAAATCTCCACTATCAATTACCTTCTTCCTTTGCGAAACCAAATTAAGTTAATTAAGTCTTACAATGCGCTCACCTTGTTGACGTCTTGTGCAGGGAATAAACAGCTTTGTTGGCCAACCGCAGAGCCACCTCCAGGAATCGCATGTCCATGCCTGCATTGTGTTTTGTTCCAAAAGGTGGGTTCATCACCACCGTGTCAAAGGACTTCTCCCACTTGCTCTCCGCCAGCTGCAGAACATCCGCCCGGACGCAGTCGACATTTGGCAGCTCCATCTCCAACACATTGCTCCTGAATGTATCCACTGCATCACCGTCTAGTTCGAAGCCCACCGTGAGTTGAGCGCCCAGGAGAGTTGAAGCTATGCTAAGCATTCCGCAGCCACAACCCAAATCTCCCACTAACTTTCCCTCAATGTCCTCGTGCTGCGACTGCATATGATGGGCCATACAGGCAGCTATGTGCGGCGGAGTTGGGTATTGTTCCAACAAGATCTTGGGTTGCTCAAAGCCATCAACGCCCTGCAGGTACTCCTCCAGCTTCCTTAGCTTCATCCGGGCCATTGCGAATTCTACTATTTAGTGACTGTATGGCTGGGCGGGGCGTTCGGTGTGGTGGGTGTGGTTGCGGGCGACGGCAGCGGCTCCAGACGAGGCAGCACGGGTATAAAACTATTTCCAAAATACGAATCCTGAGGTACAAAGAAGCCCAGAGTCGTAGAGCTCGTTGGATTAAATGCAGAGCGGGCGGTGGATGTGGCATTGGAGGCAATGCCGGCCTGGAAGTCGGGATTCACTGTCGTTGGTTGTCCCAGTAATTGGGGAGCGGGCATCTGAAAGAAAAGTCCAGGTGAACATAATGAATTCGCCATATTCCGCACTATCTTACCTGATTCGTAGGGCTTAAACCTAAGTTTATGATCCCGCCCGCGAGCAACTGCTTCTTCGTCTGTATCTCCTCGAGTATCTTGCGGTTAGTCTCGGCTTGTTGAGCACTTGTAGTTGGAAAAGCCATCAAATAGTCTAGGTCTACTTGTTAAAAACTCGGAACTAAATGGAAATGGTCGGAAGACGTGCTACTCCTGGCTTTTCCACGCGATATCGTACGGTCGCACGATTTTTTTAGGGTGACTGTTTTACGAAATCAAAAGTAATTGAGGTATTCCCGCATGCCAAAAGGATCTATCTCCAATAGAGGATTAACTTTCGTTTGGAATGCCTGTCGAAAGACTAAAATTTAATATATTAATAAATAAAAAATATATATAATATTAGAATATAAATATAAGTGGGCGGCTTTTATTGCTGTGCAATTTTTCAGTATTTTTTCGATGCCTTGATATGGTCACACTGACAGTCGCAGAACGTTAGCAGACAACAACAAAATAACATATTTAATTACAATAATCACAAACACACATTATTAGTCTTTTTGTTATCCCCACCAAAAGAATTCACAAATCGCGCGAAAGTCCAGAAAGTAAATAAATCAACATGAGTATGAGCGACGACGACCGAGACATTGACATCGAGAGTGACGTAAGCAAGCAGAGCAAAGAAGCCTATACGTGTGGGATTAGGCGGATTTTAATGACGATTTAATAATTTTTGTAGGATGATGGGGACTCGGATAACGGTTTGGGCTCCTCTCGCCACACGAGCACCGCTAATTTCACCCAGGTGACTATTAATGCGGTTCTCATTAAAGAAGAAGAGACTGCGCACATTGCCTTTTTGTTGATAAACAGAACGCACATGTTGTTGTTGTTATGAAATCGTGATTACATACAACTGAGGTCACAAAAATAGAAAAACTGTTTATGGATGAAAGCCACGCGATTTGAAAATATTGCTTATATTTCTATGAAAAATCATTTTCTTTAGTATTAATGTTTTATTCAAAATTTGAAAATTGTACTAATATCTCTTAGTGATAAACTAAATATATTCTTACATGTTTTCAAATAGTTTCAATATCACTTAGTATAAAGGTACTCAATACATTTTTTCGAAATAAAATAAAACCCCATTACAATTACTATTAGTCTGAACCCACCTGTATGTGAGATAAGGTTTTCTACACATGTATTACTGTTTCTTTCATATGTAAATTTGTATGTTTCATTGAAGGCCGAAAAGCGAGCTCATCACAACGCCTTGGAACGAAGGCGGCGGGATCACATCAAAGAGAGCTTTACTAATCTGCGAGAGGCAGTGCCCACGCTTAAGGGCGAGAAGGTAACGGAATGCACCTACTGCAAGCAAGGAATAACAAGAATAATCTGCTTTAATATTACCTTGGATACTCAGTTCGAAAAATATTATCAATTTATTTAACATTTTTCACGATCATTAAATACCTACAATTTTGCTATATATTTTAATTAGGAAAATCCCTATATATTCGACTAGATCGTTTACATTTATTTTAACTTTTTATTTACAGGCAAGTAGAGCTCAAATCCTGAAAAAGACCACAGAATGCATACAAACGATGAGGCGGAAGATAAGTGATAATCAGAAGGACATCGAGGAGATTAGGAAGCAAAACATCATCTTAGATCAGCAGAGTAAGCTCAAACTTGATTTAAATAGAAATTTACAAATTCATTAAAGTTAACTTACAAATATTCAGTTCGAGCCCTGGAAACTCCAAATGGCGATCACATATTAGAATTTCTTAGTGAAGAAGAATTGGGCAGCGAAGAGGCCGACGATGATGACCTCGACCAGCCCGACTTCAGCAGACGCAATAAAAAGATGAAGACCTTCCATACATAGCCGCCTTGCACGTCAAAAATACTGCAAACTGACGTGTTCCGGTTTTCGCTTTCACCGAAATATTGAATAGTTTCGTCGATTTAGGTTTACCTTAGAGTTGTGTTCCCCAAAAGCAATAGACCCCTCTCTCTCCCACCCCCTAAAGTTGTGAAGGAATTGTTTTCAAAATGTTAGATTCGATCAAATTGCGTGAAAATGAAAACTGTAACAAGTCCGATAATCATAATCATCATTAGCTGTAAGTTCATAAAGTAACCCACCCTATCGACCTTAATTAGTATGCGAGCGTCTTTTGTACTTTGAGCATATAATCACTTCTGCGCGAAATAATAAATTGTAAATTAATACTTTAGTTAAGACAAAATTGTTGATTTTTTTCCCCCATCTAATGGTTTTATTATTTTTACATGTTTAGTTTCCTTTATCAATTCAATCATTTTGAAAGCTTTGACCGTTAAAAAAATCGTTTTCTGGGGTTTAAACTATCAGTATAAAAGTTATTGGAAACATTATTATTGCAAAAGGCAACTTCAAGATTTTTAGTAGTGATTGCTCGGTTTTCCAGAAAATTATTATCATTTAACGTGAATCTCAATTCCGCCTTAAAATGAAAAACAGTGGTAGTTCATAAGCTTGACTCAGTTAACTTTGACAGAAAATTATCACAGTTTTAACTTAAATCCTTAGAAATAACTATTCATTTTTGCTTCTGGGGATTCGGTAAAAGAAATATTACTCCAAATTAAACACTACGATGACTTTTTAAGCAAAATGCAATTTTTCTACACTAAACAATACAAATCTGAAGGTATATATTTTATAAAAATTAGCAACAACTACTTGAATTTAAGGGTCACCCAGAGGATGAAGAAAACGAACAGGACGAAGAGAAACATGTAGCACATTTGGCGGGCACCACCACCCTGCTTAGCCAGACGCATCACCCGAGTCATGGTGTTGCCCAGAAAACCACTCGTTCGATCCATATCGTCGTCGATTCCACGCAATAGTTTGTCCTGATACCGCACCTCATTGCCAATATCGATGGTGAGTGACTTTAGGGCTCCGATCTTCTGTTTTAGCTCCTCCGCCGCCTGTTCGTTTTCCGCCTCCAAGGAATCGTGGCTTGTTGGATGGGGTCCCGATGGCTGTTGGTTCAGAGGCTGATATGGGTAGTTATTGCGGCGCATACTGCTCCCTGTATGTGCCAGTTTGGCATACGGATTGCTGCAGATCAAGAGAATGTTATTAGTTGAAATTCCAGAAATCTTAGTCCCTTTCAAGTGACACGTAAACGTAAACATGAAATCTCACCCAGCGGCAGAACAGCTGTTGCGATGTCCGTTTCTGGGGTCAACCTCTGTGGCTGACTGTGCACTGAATGACTTCTCCTGACTTCTCTTAATTCCCGAATTTGGCTGACTAATGCTTCACTTAAGTAAATGAAATGATTTTAAATCTAATGCAATTGTCGGTCGCCAAGCAGTATGACCAAAACGTAATAAAGAAAAAATATTATTTTTAATTTGTTTTTTACGATATTCCTTTAACCTATTACTACAATTTATTCTCGGACTATATCGTATCTTTTTTTGTTTATGTACAATTTTCTACTTTCGAAATATAATTTTTGGAACTGTAATATAGATTTTCTAAAAAGCTTACTACCTAATAAATTAATGAATGAATTGCTTTTCGCATTTTTTGTATTCTCATTACAAATATATCATAAAGAAATAACTTGTTAGTAAATGTTATTTGTAAATACATATTAGTTTTTCTTATTCCTTATAATAACTCAACAATGGGTTAACCCGCGTGACTATTACTTTTAGGGGTGTTCTGTGCGTTCCCGACAACAGTCACACTGATCTAGTGTTTAGTAACTTTAGGTAATTTTGGCCAACTTTTTAGCTTGCCGCTTTAGCTTGTTGTTCCCATTCGCTTTTATGACCTGACCGTGAAATCAATAAGCATAAAATATTTAAATCCGTGCGCTGGCAAGTGCGTCATCATCGAATTCAGTGGTTCACCGAGATAATTTGGCCTTTGCGTTTGAATTTTCATTGACCCTGACCAAGTGCACCTGTTTGTTGTTGTTGCTATTGTTACTGCTCTTTCTCTTCGCTTAATCTTCCCCCTTCCCTCCCCCCAACCTCAGTTGGATGATCAAAAAACAATCAGTTTGCGTAATATGCGACAATAACAATAACAACGTATTCGGGGTGATAAGAACTCGGGCACAATGAACCAGCGAACACGCGAGTAAAGTTACTGATAAGCGCTGCAACTCTTTTTTCCAGATTTAGCATGACGGAATATACGGAGGTCTTGCCCCACAATGGTATAATGGATGGTATCGCGTCGGGAGTGGGGGTTCCCGTGGAGGCCCTCCGACTGCTCCTTACGATCTTGGCTGGTAAGCTAACTAGTAACTAGTGGCTATTAGTTTTTATACTCTTAAACTATTAATGTTAGAGCAATTTAATACCGTTCTTACATTAAAAAATCAAATTAGTATACGATTTAAAATACTCCCACATTTCATTTAACTTTTCGTGTAGATATAGGTTATATGTATGCACAAGTGGTTTATGCATGAGTATATAATTCAATTTATATAAACCCTCGACATCTTTTGATAAAATTGGAATGCGATCATTAACATTTGGCTCTAAGAGAAAATCTCTAGTTTTACTTATAGAATCAAAAGTTCTAGGTTATTCTGATCATAAAGATAACAGGTATACAAATTAATAATGTGCATTAATGTGCCATAATTGTATTAATAATCGAAAAGTTTTAAAAGCGCATAACATTATAAAAATAAAGTTTTAAGGATTTTTAAAGTTCTACTTAAAAGTTAGTTTAACAAAAATATGATATTGACATTTAATCAAACAACATTATTCACTACAATTTGTTTAGCTTAGTACTAATTAAAACAAAAACGTCAGAGACGGCAAAATTGTGCCTTTAATTGTACATAAATCAAAAATAAATAAAAATGTACACTTATAAAAAATTTTAGTTTTATTAACTCAAACAAGCCAATTATTAAATGCGTTTCTCCTTTCAGGTTATCCCTTGGCCGCATTTTATCTGAAATTCATTGCACAGATTTCTGATAAAACCTTGCACCACATTTTCTTTGCCGGATGTGGCGCCGGGCTATGCTACTTTAACTACGGCCACAACACATATCACTCCCTGGCGGCAATACTGACCACCTATTTCCTGGTACTCATCCTGCGAAAGAAAGCACAATTATTCCTGACCCTCAATTTTGTATTCCACATGAGTTATCTTTTGCTGGGTTACTTCTTCACCTCCAGCAATGAATATGATATTCTATGGACAATGCCTCATTGCATTTTGGTACTCCGAATGATTGGCTATGGATTTGATATCACCGACGGACTGAAAGAAGAATCTGAGTTGTCTAAAGACCAGAAGGAAACTGCTTTGAAGGAACCACCTTCGCTTCTGGAACTCTTGGCCTTTGCATATTTTCCTAGTGGCTTTTTGGTTGGACCACAGTTTCCTTATCGCCGCTATCAGGCCTTTATAAATGGTCAATTCCGTCAGCACGAGGGAAGTTTGGAGGCCGGCGTTCGTCGTTTTGGAGCTGGTGCATTTTACCTAATTGTTTGTCAAGTTGGATTGAGATATCTCCCCGATTCATACTTTCTCACCCCGGAGTTTGCAGAAGTTCCGTTCATCAAGAGGATATATTACTTGGGCTTCTGGGCCAAGTTCAGTCTGTACAAGTACATATCTTGTTGGCTGCTCACAGAGGGAGCACTCATCTGCATAGGATTGACCTACAAGGGAGAGGACAAGAATGGAGAACCAGATTGGTCCGGTTGCAGCAACGTGAAGCTAAAGCTGCTGGAGACAGGAAACACGATGGAGCACTATGTTCAAAGTTTTAATGTAAACACGAATCAGTGGGTGGGACAGTACGTCTACAAGCGTCTTAAGTTCCTTAACAATCGCACGATCAGCTATGGCGCGGCTTTGGGTTTCTTGGCCATCTGGCACGGATATCACAGCGGCTACTATATGACCTTCCTAATGGAATATATGGTCGTCAGCACTGAGAAACAGGTGAGCTTTCATATTGGGTAAATATTTGAAATTTAGAGTTGAATTAGGCAAAGTTATTAGCAATTCCAACAAATTTTAATAACCTTTTTAAACAATTAAGTACACAAATGGCTCCATAAAGCTTTTACGAAGTGATTCGTTTTTTGTGCAAGTGGGTTATAATGGGGCAATAAAAAAGTTAAGCAAAGCTTATCTGAATAGGAAAGTAAATTAAAAGCAAGGAGAAAACTTTGATAAGAACTTGCAAATCAGGAACTAATATGTTCTTTTGCTATTCTGTTTTAGATAACCCGGTTTTATACAAAAGTGGTGCTGCCCAAGTGGGGCCATATCCTTAACAACTCAGACATCTACAAGTTGCTGTACTTCATCACCCTTAAGTCGTACAACATAGTTTACATGGGATGGTGTCTCACCGCATTTGTGTTTCTGAAATACGAGCGATGGATTGTGGTGTACGGCGCGGTTAACTATTACGGATTCACTTTACTGTTCGTATGGGCAGCCTTTTACCACACATATAACCACTTTTTCTGGAGCACTTCCCGAAAAGAAATCGGCGAGAAGGAAAATTTGGAAGTCAAAAACACGGAACAACATAGTGAGGAAAAGAAATCCGTAGACAAGAAGTCTGATTAGAAAAGCGAAATGTAGAAGAAAATAACTGGCAGGAAGTTCTCAAAATTTTAGTTTGCCTTGACAATTGTTTGGAATTGGTATTAATCACAGAATCGAATTGTTTTTACTAACCAAATAAGGAGTTTTACCAAATAATATGCCACTGTAATTAGAGATTTGTTAACTAGCTATTCGAAAGCAATTTTATACATATATATCGTTTGCCTAGTCAAGGAGGAGTCATCCCCAAGTATGCAGTGTGCTTTTCGGCGATAAGATACTGTCTTATCTTGCCCAAAATCACACTGTCAGTCTTATAAATATATGTATTATGGAATTGTAAATTGTATAAGTGTTAAAACCGTTTAGTTCAACTAGAAGATCAAACATAAGACTATAACGAGACCAGGGTCAATGAAAATCAAACAACTTCTGTAACAGATTTCTTGTATTTGAAAGGAGAGCAGTATCTGAGGAGACTTAACTAAGCCATAAAGACAGTTTTATACCAATGCAAAGATGAATGCAAAGATATATTTTGATATGCTCACGATAAGTGCAAATTTCAGTAATGGAAAAGCGAAATAAATGCAATGAAATTATTTTTAAGTATACGGCAAGCATTTAATGGGAGATGGAATTGTAATGGGAAACGGTTCTTAAACATCATGCATTAGTTCATTTCTCTAAATGAATAAAAAGTTCTACGGATAATGATTCTCATGATCGCGGTAACTTATTGATAACTAATGAACCCCAAATCAGTTTTAAATGATAATGCATAACCGAACGGCAAAATCTTACAAACGGTTACAAAAACTGCATTTATACATTATTAAAATCTCTAAAACTCAAAAAGTTAAACCAACGTTAATATTAATGGTTTATTTATTACAATCATGTTAAACACCGCATTCAAAGGCATTTGAATTAATCGTAGATACAAGGAAACTTATTTATTGATCATAAAATAGTCATGAGAATGTACTGGGAGGTTGATGGGATAATGGAAATCTGGGCTCTAGTGCTCCATGGGCTGGGCATCACCTCCACCACCCTCGACACGACGCTTTGCTCCACCACCCGTAGTCGGATCCTTTTCTACCTCCTCGGTGATTTCACTGAACATGTAGTCGTCCTGGTACTCCTTTAGGATCTTGCTCGATCGATTCTCGTCCAGGAACAGCGAGTAAACCTTCTTCACATCCTCGGTGTTCACTTCGGTGGCCTTGCGGCGACGACAAACCAAATTGGCTGTGGTTATGAGTTGAATAGCATAGCGTAGGCTCGTGTCCGTGGCGATGCGTGTAAGAATGATCAGGGCATCCGGGTGCATGATGCAGTCCTCCTCTTCACAACGGATTTTTAGAATTTCCTTGACCTCCTTCTCAGAATACGGCACAGTGCGAATTATAATCATACGATCGAGAAGATCAATCGGAATGCCATGGGGACTGCGGTAGTTGGTGCCCCTGATGCGAGTGATCCCGCGGTTTGTGGCCATCACCACTACCGGGGCCATGTCCGATTCCAGGGCGCGATTTAGGAAAGAGAAGCACTCAATGTCTAGCATATGGACCTCGTCTATGAAAAGAACTCCTGGGTTTATCTCGGCCTTGCCCTCCTCACGCCACTCGAGAACCTTGTTGTTGATTTGGTCGCGCACCTCCTGCTTGATTTCACCAGTATCACCAGAGAACAGAGCCAAGAAACCGTGGGTGCGACTATTGATCACATCGATCTCATGCAGAGTGACGGTGTGCACCACTTCTTTGCGTTTCTGAAGCTCCCCCTCGGGGCACTGGACGAATCTGGTTTGGGCGCCAGTGGCATCGTAGTCCCTGGCTCTGGTGAAGCTGCGGCCCAATTTGTTAACCTTTCCGGAGGCCTTATCGATAGTGATCACATCGCCAGCCTGGATCTTCTCTTTCATGAAGCACTCGATGATCTTGTTGCCCAGATCATAATTGGTCTCCATCTCGGTGGTCTTCAGAGTTACCTTACCCACTTTCTGACCAGTACCTGTGGCGGGACGTTCAATTTGGATCTCCACCACTTCGCCTTCGATGATCTCGGTCTCCTCCTTGATGCGAACGCCAATGCTTTTGCGCAGTGCCTGTGAGAGAGCCTCGGTCTTACTCATTTCGAGAGAGTATATCTCCGATCCAGACATACTGGTGAATGGAGTTTCGGTTCCCAGAGCTTGGGCCATTCCCACGGCGATTGCCGTTTTGCCGGTACTGGGCTCTCCAGCAAGAAGGATGCATCTTCCGGCGATCTTGCCCTCACGGACCATCTGCACAACCACTCCGGCGGCTCGACGGGCATCTTTTTGACCCACCATTCCCTGGGAAACAACACGCGCCTCCAAGACATCGTCCAATCCCAAACCGCGAATGTGAGAATGGGCGCCAATGCGCTCGATGCGGGTAACATCGCGAACTTCGATTTTCTCGGTCTCGGCCATTTTGTAGTTCTGAAATATATTACTGGTTTAAACTTCTACTGTATTCCGATCTTTTCAACGACTCACTAGTTGTTTATGGGGTTTAAATAAGTTGCTAGGCACAAAATTCGGATAGCAAAACGCCGGGCCTGCTTTTGGAGGATAGTTTGGGCGTTTGACAACACTGGCACGACTAGCACATGCTGTCAATGATGGCAGAATTTTGAATATTTAGCTAAAATCAGATAGATATACTAGGATAGTTCTTGTAGTAGTTCTTCAAGAATTTTTTTTGTGAATAAAAAGGTTACAAGCTGTTTTAGACCACATAAATAAAAATTATATTAAACTTTGGATTTCTAATAAATTATTGTTTTGCACACCATTCAGCAAAAATAGCTAGATTTACAGAGAACTCTGAATTGCTCATAACAGAGTTGATAGCTCGCGCATGCTAACACAGCTGATTGGCGATGCGTTAGGGTATTTCACTTTATGTTGTTTGGAACTGCCCGATTTAATTTTTTATTATTTTTGAGTTAAAAACAGAACAAAACAATGTCATTCTTAGCGCAAAGCTTTCGCCAGGTTTTGCGACAGGTACCCAACCGCAGTTCATCCTTGGCGGGTAAGTGGATGTTAAAGGAATAGCAATGAAAACAATGTGACATAACACGGTCTCAATGAAACTTCCATTTCTTGTAGGTGCCATGCGCTCGCTGAGCATTTCACCGGCTTTTCAGCAGCAAAATAAACCGGCGGCGGAATCGGTGGATATATCCGCCATAACCAAGGATCAGCAGAAGGAGTGTCAGAATATTTGCGAGCGAATCAACCAGCAAGTGCAAAAATCCGAGCAGGGTCGCCTTTTTGCGGTGGTCCATCTGTGCGGAAAGCAATTTAAAGTAACACCTGGAGACATTATCTTGGTGGAGGGGTACTGGCCCCCAACGATAGGCGATCAAATCAGTCTGGATAAGGTTCTTCTGGCCGGTGCCCGGGACTTCACCCTTGTGGGAAGGCCCATTCTTGAGCCCGGACTTATTTCCGTAAAGGCTACCGTGGTGGAGAAAACGCTCAGCCACACGAAGACCCATTTTCGAAAGAAGCGCAGGAAGCAGTACATGAGGATTAACTTCCAGCGATCCCCGCACACCATGATTAGGATCAACTCAATCGAACTGGCTCGTCCGGTGGGCGGAAAAGACCAGGCGGAGTCTTCGAAGCGCTTGTTTTAGTTTAAATTGCTGTTAATCAAGAAAAATAAATCAGTTCGTTGGATGGTAATTAAGAAAACAAAAAGCTTAGGCTTTTAAGCGTTGTGGATTTACAGAGGATTTTAGTTTTTATTCCCAAAAATATATTTATAAAAGCAGCCAATTCTGCAGTAAACAGATTGAGACTGAAAATTATTGGCTAAATTTACGAAAAGTAACTACATATTAACGGCCGTAATGTAGTAATTTTTATTAAAATTTAGAGATAATGTTTAAAATTACCGAGCAAGAAAGGAACATTTTAGAAAAACGAGCTTCGAGAGATATAAATGATTTACCTTACATTTTTATTATTATTATTTTAATATTAATAATATTTTTAATAATAAAAATAAAAATCCAACTTTTAGTAAATTTTTAGTCAACTTAGAAACCAAATAAATATTTTCAAGCTCTCCGGCACCACACAGATTTTTTTTTACCTGTCTGGCAGCTACTGCAAAGTTAGTATTTCCAAATAAGTCTGGCAACCTTTTCAGAAATTTCAAAACTGTACATGTAACATTTTTAATTTTTTCTTTTGATCTTTGGCAGATATTGCCCTTCTGCAATTTTTTTGTTGCTTTTTCCATTACAATTTCCACTTTCATCTTGATTCAATGACTCTGGCGAGTTCATCACTTCAGCTCGACAGTATTTACCCAAAACGGCAACCTAGTTTGAAATGTGAGCCACCCAACTACCGGCTTTCCGCAGCACAACAAAGAAGAGGCGCCATCTCTAATGAAGCAACCAGAAGCAACCGCTGCAATTTTAATGACAACCTTTTATCGCCCATGTTGTTGTTGCCATCTTTCATTAAAAGACGTCGGCTGCAGTGCTACATCCAACCACCCAGAACCACCCGCTCCATGATTTATAAACTGCATGCGAGCCATAGGATGCCTGCTGCTTTCTTTATCAGCAGATGTAAGTTGCTCCCGAGTCGGCGGCTGTCGTATTTGTTTACGCTGCTCTTTCACTTTCCACTAACCAAAGGCGTTTACTTTTTAGCCTTTGCGCCTGGCGAGGCTTCGCTTTTGCTTTTCCCTGGCCCCATTTTCCAGTTTGGCCTTTCCGGTTTCAGTTTGGCTCGGGGGGAAATACAAATTGAAAGAACACGTGAGGTTAAAGAAAGGCTCTACTTTGATTGGGCCTGTGAATTCAATTTATGGCAGCCAAACTACGTTTTAAATTGTTGTTTTTCAGGAATAAAGATATAAAAGTAAAGAAATACAGAGCGATGAGAGAGAAAAACAAGAAAAACTATATATATAACTGAGAAATCAAAGAGGAATTCTAAATATTCTTAAGTTACCCAATACTTACAGAAAATTATATTATTTTTTTCGTATGTAGACCATATAATGAAAACCATTTCCTTGTAATTTTATAAACAAAAAAGTACCTACATAAATTCTAGAAAACATGAATTGGAATATAAGTAGGAAGGAGTTCGAATTGATCTTTATCTTCTCACTTTTTTATTTAATTTTTCATATTTATTAAGGAATATATTATATCTTGAAAATATGAAAAATAAAATGCTGAATTTGTAATTGTAATTTGGAAATACTTTTATCAGAGAATTGATTTATAATAAAAAGAATTTCAAATCTGTTAAAACTGATATGCATTAGATAGATAGATAAGAAGATAGATTTTTGACAGTGATTTTAAATGGTTAAGTTTTATTATAGATAACAAACGAAACTTAACTTAATAGTATTTAATTTAATAACTCATTTTGTAGCCCTCATACTGATATATTTAACCTTCCTGGCCATAAACGCAAAGTGATGTCTTTACCTCATCGCTCCTAGCAACACCTTGTAAATAAAATCACTTTCGCTCCATATAAAAATGCCATTAAAAATTATGGTTTCGCATCCAATCCCTCCCCCAAAAGGAAAACGGAGCCGACGTTGATGCGTCTAATGGTGCCACATCAAATTTCGCAAATTGCACAAGCAGCACAAATTCAATTGTCGACACTTCGGGCAAGTTTTGCTCAAATATCCATCACAAAAATGTATATTCCGCTGCACTTTCCCGGCGACAAATCAAATTTCAATATGGGAGGCGCAAACTAAAAAGAGTAAGCGGAAAATATTAACACAAATTGAAAGCCTTTTGGTGTGATAAAATTTCACCTGACTGCCAGCACTGCTTGCTAGGGAAATTTCGGGTGCTGGACTCCTTCTACTTTTCGGGTTGATTATGTTATTTGCCTAGGAAAATTGCATTTGATGTGCGTTAAGTGACAAAACGGAAATTGCCACCAAGCGGAAGCTGGGTTTGTTTGTCTTCTTATGGCGCCCCATGCCCTCCAACCTTGTCCTCAAAATCACCCAACCACCACCCACCGCCGAAGTCCATCTAAGCCACCACTTTCTGCCAAAACTCACACCCTTCCTCACGCCGTGGAAATCCCATGTAAATGCGGCTCAAGTTGGTCCAAATTTCGTAAATTTATGCGTAGAAGCGTGTGATGTATGATCCGCAAAAGGGAGAAGCCGAAAGAAAGGGGCATCTGGACGCATACACTGGAAAAAATATTTGAGAATTTAACAAAAATATTATCGCATATAAATAATTTACGCTTTTTCAAGTTTATTTTATGAAAATATATTCAAAAGAGTAAAGAACTCTGTGGTTTAATATTTTAAAAATTAAAATTTTTTGAATAAATTGAAAAAATGTGGTTGCTGTAATAAAAAATCGAAGCAGAATTGGCCATCAATTATATTTATAATCAGTTCAAATAATATTATATACAAACAAGATTATAATAATTGAATTTGTATTAAAAATGTATTAACAAAAATGTATTCAAATTTGTTATACGTTCTTTTTAGGAAGAAAATCTTTATCAGAAATAAACCATTTTCTCCGCGTGCATTAAGGACGAAGGATACTGTATTATGACCACCCATCCATCATCAGCATCACTCAGTTTTGACATATCATTGAAATCTTATGCCAACGTCGTCATCATCTGTGACGTTTCATTAACCCACCTCCGCCCCAACCCCTAGCCACGCCCATCAATCTGAGGGTGTTGATGGGAGTGGGAGAAAGTGGGAGTGGTAGTGAGGGGAATGTGTTAATATCAACAAGCGAAAACTGTGCGAACGCAATCTACCGATTTCCGCTTAACCAAGCCAAACATTGCATTTTTGATTAGACGCCAGGCCGACGAGCCCCCAGGCTGGTCAGATTCGAGGATATGGCCATAGCCTTCCAAGGGAATGTTAGCAGGGGTTGCTTTTTGATCTGATCCTGGGGATTAACGGGCGGGATTCCGGGGTGCGATTTGGCGGTTAAGTGGCGAAGTCAGGAGCGCCGGCAATTGATTGTAATTCCTCTTTTATTGGCGTTTTGCAATCATTTCTTTTTCTGATATTTGTTTTTCTTTTTACTTTTATTTGATGTGCGGATGGCTTCTAAAAATCAAAGAAGGTTAGCAGCGGTTACCTATTTGGTAGGTCAAAAAGGGTGAGAAATATCTGTCAAAATAATAAAAACATCTCTGCACACTCAATTTCTAAAAATTTAGCTTAAAATAAGTTAATATTTTCGATTTTTATTACCTAAATTGATAGCGCATTTTGATTAAATTAAATTGCAAATGTTAAGCTAGTGATAATGAATTGACAATGATTAGGATCCCAATAATATATTTCCGCTTATTGAACTTTATTCAAAAAATATGTTATTAAAATGATTTTTAAATACTTATTTTTAAATCCGAATTGAAAGCATTCAGTGAACCCATCAAATGCAAACACTTCATGTTTTAAATCGGATTTCTGGATTGAACATCCCATTTATTTCTTTCACGCTTTGCGTATTCATCAATTCCTTTTCTTAAAATTTAGGTTTCAGAATAGAAATATTATTTTCGCATTATATCGATCCCGGACCCAACCCTCGTCTCCATCAATTTGCCTAAGGCATATTACATTCGAATTATAAACTCACATATCATCTTCGATAAGGGGATGATGACGATTTCTGTCACCTAGCGCATAACTTGAAAAGTTTTTCTTGAAAATTATGCAAAAATGTGGAAAATGTTGGCTCCGCTCCTTGGGGATATTTTTCAGTTCACTGAATTGTTGTTTGCGATGCCAAAAAAAGTGATTTCCAACGGCAAGGGTTGTCAGGTTTTTTGCTTTGTGTGCGCTGCTTCTTCACCTGATGGTGATATGACAATCTACTCGCACTCGTACTCCCCCCAGCACGTGTCGCAATTCGAATTTAAATAAGTTCGATGGGCAGCAAAGTTCACAAACAGTTTGGGGAATGGCTTCTCCACCTCGGCTCTTAATGATGAAATTTCAATAAATGTCATTTGGTCTCGGCAAAGTGTCAACATGGCACCTACCCGCCCCTTTTTCATCCTTTCCAGCCTTTTTACGAGTGCAACAGCTGTCAGCGCCGCGCTCAATGCGTTAATAATGACAGTTTTCCCAATATTTCTTTTTTATTTTTGTTAGTCTAACTAGCCGGGAAATCGACAGAGAATGGAGGACACAGGACCCAGGACTCGCTTCTGCCTGATAAATTTAATTACTTTTCCATTGCTCATACGCACTGTGTGTCCATCCAAAGCAAAGCAGAGACCAGTGTTGCCTGACTTCAAGCTAAGATGCTATATAAAATAAACTAAGCGAATCTAGAAAGGTTACGCTAAATCCTTCTAGGTGTTCAAGTTTACTATATTCACATACTCTACTCAATCTAAAGACTCGATTTTAGGGTGTATCTTTCATTCTTTATCTTTAAAGTTTCAACTTTATATAATAAAAATTTTTTTTTTTCAAATATGTTTTTTTGCGAGTTTTTACCCTCTAAAAGCGATTATTGGGGGATTACAGCAAAAGAAGGGTATGAACTATATGATGACATTATGATATTATCAAAGTAATGTTATAATATGATGAGATTACATATTGTTTTAAATTTTCCAATAAATATCACTAGAACAGAATCATAGTATCAAAAAGTAATTAAAAGGACGAAATA